GCAAGGGTGATGACTGGAATGATGTTGATGCGGTAATAATAGTTTGCTTTTTGTTTTATTTTCAGCTGCGACGTTGACTTTGAGCCTCCAGGTCCCTGTGATGCGGAAGAACAGGCTAAGTTTGAATCGGAGGAATTTTGTGGAAAGATACATGATGTCAATGGTAAGTCCAGTTATGTATGACTGCTGAATGCACAATTTCCCTTTAAACAACTTTGTTTCAATTCAGATATAATACAGAAATATACGTTGATAGTTCTAGTTTATGTTGATAATTCTACTCTATGGGATGTCTAGCAAAAACATTAGCAAGCTTCAGCATGTTCAACATTATTTGGCAAGTGTCGTGACGGGTACTGGAAAATCCGACCATGCCTATCTATACTCTTTGGTTCTATTGGGTAAAGTCACGTAGGTGAAAATTAAATAACAAAAAATCACGACTTTTCGGCCACAACACAAGCGGCCTTCATCAGGTGAAGGGACGAGACTGCCTGGAGGACAGCGCTGGAGTGTTGTTGTCCTCCAGACAGTCTCGTCCCTTCACCTGATGAAGGCCGCTTGTGTTGTGGCCGAAACGTCGTGATTTTTTGTTATTTTATTTTCACCTACGTGACTTTACCCAATAGAAACAAAGAGTATGGATCCTAGCAGTCACGAAAGCTTTAAATCTAGAATTCATGCCTATCTATTCTAGATTGGAAGCTTTTGTGACTGCAAGTATCCATATTCTTTGGTTCTATTCGGTAAAGTCACGTAGGTAAAAAATAAAACAACAAAAAATCACGACGTTTCGGCCACAACACAAGTGGCCTTCATCAGGTGGAGGGACCAAACTGTCCAGAGGACAGCGTTGGAGTGAAGAAAGCCAAGTGCAGGTCGCCTCCTTTAAGCTGTGAGGGGGTAAACAGATAACGCCTTGACAAAGGAATTAGCATAAAATGTACTACTGTGAAAGCTTGTAATTAGCATAAAATGACATTACACCACCGTGAGAGTTTGAGATGCCACTACTTGAATAAATATACTGTATCATTGAAAATTAGTTCAATGTTTGGTTCGATTTAGAATATCTTTCCAATGGTTGCTTAATTTGAAACCATCTTCTCGGTTGAAATTGTGTCTGTGTTTGTAAATCTGAATTGCCTCGTGGACAAATCTCTGATAAAAACCCGTGGGTTTGCAGAGGACCTTGGTATCGGAGAAAACTATATCGTGATCACCCACAGCGTTGTAACAGTGATCAGTTTCGGCAGAAGAATTCGTTCTGCCGCGTTTCAAATCTGATTTGTGCTCGCGAATTCGGTCAGAGACATGTCGTTTCGTCTCCCCGAAATAGCAGTCACCACAAGTGCAGATCAATTTGTAAACCCCGGGGTACTGTAAGTCAGGAATGACATCCTTCACGGAAGGGATCAGGTCACGGATTTTGTGTACTGTATTAAACCGGACCAGGATCTTGTGTTTGTTTAGAATTTTGGAGATCTTTTTAGTAACGCCTGCTATATATGGTAGTGTGATGGTTTTGATCGGAGTATCAAGTGGTTGTTTCTGTATGGAGGGAAAAACAACTTGTCGGATGGTACGGTCAGAGTATCCATTCCTTTTGAGGGCCAGATGTACATGTTTTAATTCACTGGTCAGGTGGTGTTGGTCCGAAATGCAATGAGCCCTGTGGTATAACGTTTTTATGAGATAATTATTTTGCGTCGGGTGGTGGTGGGAATCAGGTTTCAAGTAGGAATCTGTGTGGGTGGGTTTCCTGTTGACAGAATGTCCCAATGAGCCATCAGGTCTCCTCTCAAACAGAACATCCAAGAATGGCAGCTTGCCATCTTTCTCCACTTCCATGGTGAATTTGATGGTGGGGTGTCTGGAATTAATGTGGTCTAGGAAAAGGTTCAAAGCTGGGAGGCCATGTGGCCAAATGACGAAAGTGTCGTCTACATATCTCTTCCACAGGGAAGGTCTGAGGGTGGAAGTCTGGATGGCGTCTGATTCAAATTTCTCCATGAAAATATTGGCTATCACTGGTGACAAGGGGGAACCCATGGGGGTACCCTCATTTTGTTTGTGGTTCCAATCAGGTGACATATTTTGTGTTAACACTAAATGAGCTTGTAGGACTAGACCCCGATACACCTGCGCTGGTTAGGCACTGGTTAGGCTGGTTAGACACTGCCTCACCAATACCTACTTTACTACTTTACTTTGGAATGGCACCTTCTACAAACAAAATGAGGGTACCCCTATGGGTTCCCCCTTGTCAACAGTGATAGCCAATATTTTCATGGAGAAATTTGAATCAGACGCCATCCAGACTTCCACCCTCAGACCTTCCCTGTGGAAGAGATATGTAGACGACACTTTCGTCATTTGGCCACATGGCCTCCCAGCTTTGAACCTTTTCCTAGACCACATTAATTCCAGACACCCCGCCATCAAATTCACCATGGAAGTGGAGAAAGATGGCAAGCTGCCATTCTTGGATGTTCTGCTTGAGAGGAGACCTGATGGCTCATTGGGACATTCTGTCTACAGGAAACCCACCCACACAGATTGCTACTTGAAACCTGATTCCCACCACCACCCGACGCAAAAGAATTATCTCATCAAAACGTTATACCACAGGGCTCATTGCATTTCGGACCAACACCACCTGACCAGTGAATTAAAACATGCCTATCTATTTCTCGCTGAACTGCATTGGCTTCCGGTTGCTGAACGAATACATTACAAGTTCACGCTCACTGCACACAAAGTGCTTGCTACAAATGAACCACAATACTCTGCTGATCTCATCCAGGAACATAAACAGTCACACAAACTCCACTCATCCTCACACCAGCTTTTGGCTAACCATCGAACAAAGATGGTCACCGCATAAAGGGCTATCAGATGCACTTCTACAGCCGTGTGGAACACACTTCCTTCCAATATTAGGAAGCCACTGGAGCTCTGTACTTATACATTTTAATTTAAAACTCATTACTTTAGAAATTGTATTGTTTAGTTTGTTGTCCTTTCCCCGCACCTCCGATTAGCACAGTTGACGACATACCATGTGACAGGTTAACATACATACATACATAGTTGCAAATATCGCTGTGTTGTAAATGATATTCACGTCGCTTGTGAACAGGAGCATTCCAAGAGTGCCATGCAGTGGTTAATCCAGAGCAGTTCTTCATCACCTGCGTTCTTGACCAGTGCTGGATGGATGGGAACGAGCAGTTCCTCTGTGCCTCCATGCAGACCTACGCTGACCAGTGTGCCCAGCATGGGGTCATCATCATGTGGAGGAACGACACCTTCTGCCGTGAGTACAAACCTGTCTGAGCTTTAATCCATAACACATCACATTGCATGAGACTGGGCCTTGTTTTTATTCTGTGGAAGCACAATGTACATCTGTGTGGTTTGTTCATTTGTATAGCTGCTTGCAGTTGTGCATCCCCATTGTAATTTATCTCTGAGTATGTTTATCATTTGTGTTGACAGCGCTCGAATGCCCTGCAGACAGCCACTATGAGAGCTGTGCCCCACCGTGCCCAGCCACGTGCAGCAATGTGACCCTCCCAGGTGCCTGCCAGCAGCCCTGTGGGGAGGGCTGTGTCTGTGATGAGCGTTTTGTCTTCTCAGGAGACAAGTGTGTCCCTCAAGATCATTGTGGCTGCATGGACGACAACGACCTCTATCATCCGGTGGGTTAACCCTTCACATCATGTGAATTAAACGGTGATCATTTATTAATATCCACATAGGCAAGCTAAGCTATGTTTTGTTTTGGTATATGACCTACAAGTGTGCATTTTCATTTTTAAGACTAATGTATAAGTAAAGATGGAGTGCATTAAGTTTCACGCTGGAGTAAAATGGTGAAAATGATGAACAAAATGAACAAATGCAATGTATGTATGTTGCAATGATGTTGAAATATATCAGATAAGGTTTCAGTAAGCTTTCCCTGTTATGTATATTTCATGATTCTCATCGTGCATTGTTTTTCGCAGCTTGGGGACAGCTGGTTTGCAACACAGAACTGCAGTCTGCATTGCTCTTGTGGCGATGCTGGAGGCATGGTCTGTGAGCCCTGGCAGTGTGGAGGCTCCGAAATCTGCAGTGTGCAGAATGGAAGCCTGGGCTGTCACAGCTATGGTAAGATTTTCCCAACATATCCTACCCCAATGTAAGAAATAATCAAGACCGCTCATTTGCAATGACTTTTCAGCCCATAAAATGATAGTGGTATTGCTACAAAAAATATAATATTGTATGCGTATTTTGTGTTAATCTTAAAATTATGCTTCTCTTTGTGATACATCAATATGTTTAATTGCGTATATTTTTACCACAGATACCACAACAGTTTCACCACCAACAACAACTGCGCCTCCAAGCATAAGTAATCATGGACTGCACATCGATATCTCTTGCCCAGGATATTTACTTACAAATCATTTTTTTAAGAACTTGTACTGTAATATATTTTCGTTTCCTTGATGATGAACACATTCTAAACATAAAATGTTCATGATGGCATGAGAAGGAAATTGGTTGCTTATATTGAAAATGTATTTAACACAGCATATATCCTGCAAAACTGAGTTTCCTTGTTCAAATCCTGGCAGTTAACTGCTTTATTCTCATTGTTCAAGGATTGCATGTTGATGGTTCAAATACGAACTTGAGTGATTGAAACAAATCTTGCCTGTTTTAACTTCATTTGGTGTAGTCCTAATTTGATGGGAGAATTTGTTAATATTGACGGAGAAAAAAATGACTCGATCTCTAGTACCCTTGTTGCACAGTAGCTTGGCCTACCCCGTGGCTATATAAATAAGGATATTTCATCTCAATATGGCTTGATGATTTGGATGGGTAGGTTCCCTCTTTGTGAATATAAAAATAACAAGCATTTATTTTATTAGATGCTAAAATACAAACACGATCTCAAAACAAAGTAATAACACGATTTAAATGGCTGCGTGGATGGTCACTGTGAAGTGAATGAAAATTCTCAAATCTTTTTCAGTAGCTGCAAGATGTGTGGTGCAGGGAGACCCACATTACACGACGTTTGATGGGCTCTATTACGACTTCATGGGCGCGTGCATCTACACAACAGCCAAGCTGTGCAACATCTCCTCCTCCCTGCCCCACTTCAACGTGGAGACTAAAAACGAGCGCCTCAACCCAAGCATATCTGTGCTCCAAGATGTTTACGTGGACGTATTCGGACACAGGATAACCATGACTACACATCACATCCTACTGGTTAATATTACACCTAAAAGGGCTGAGGTTTTAAAGTATTGATAAGTAATATGTGAGTTAAATATTAAATTATTAGCCTATTTGTTTGAGCTAGTGTCACAGGCGGTGCAATAACACGTTCATGTTGTGTTGACGCATGCAGAGGCTAATGGGAGGCACCAACCCAGGCCGAGTGTATGTTCCACCACCACTTAATCTGTTATTTCTGCATTCTCACTTAATAACTCATTGGTGCTTCGCTTCTAGGAAAAGAATGCAACATTCTCCTCTTTGTAATTCCTACCGCCTACAATGGCAGTTACTCCAAATATGCTCTCATAGGCTGGAAATGGCAAATTGTAAACATTCTGAGACCATCATCTCCCGATGCTCGGGAACCCGGTTTATATTAAGGTGGCGGCCCGAATGTGAATTGAGCATCTCAGCAGAGGTGTCTTTTTAGATGTGCCCTCTTTACTTGAGTCCAACCTTCACTGTTAAATGAATTTGAGCCTTTGTGTCAATTGGAGGCTTCATATGATTCTGCCACTTACTGAATGAATTGTACACAACTGCTGAACAATGTGGTACTGGGGTAAAGCTCACTTCTCAATTAGCAGTAATTAAAGCCATTAACCAATCAATAATAAAATCTAAATTTTAATTGAGACCACTGGGATGTACAAGCATTATTATGAAGGGAAATGATTTCCTTAACGCTTGAATCACTCATGTGCTTTGATCTACAGTTGGATGGGGAGCGGGTGACGCCCCCACTGGTGTTACCGGGGATGCACGTGTCTCTGAGCGGCTCATACCTTGTGCTCATGACCAACTTCAGCCTCACAGTTCGTTTCGATGGGTACTATCAAGTTGTGGTGTCTGTACCAATGGAGTACGCTGGGCAGCTCTGTGGACTCTGCGGTGAGACAATGATCAAAATGTTCATGAGCATTATTGAAACCTGACTTGCGTTAGCATCGGTTACAAGATTAAACATTCCCTTTCAAATTGAAATTAATTGAGAATGGAAAGGTTGGTAGTGAATCCTAGAGTTCATCAGCTTGTGATATGATGGATGAGACGCAGCACTTTATGAAAATAATTGGCAAAAACACACAAATCCTACGTGGAGAAATGAGTAAGACAGTTCAGAAGATAGGTTCAGTGATTTGGACATTTCCAAAGAGCACGAAACATAAAAGTACTGTAGAAGAACACGACACATAGCAGCAATTCTGTAGAAGAGGCAGCAAAGAGATGTGATGAAGACAGTCGAGGTGCTCAGACAGAGCTACATCATCCATAGGGAGGACAGTGCTTGATTTAGTTGCACCAAGCAGTTGTAGTGCTCACTTGATGCATCATCCCTGAGGTGGGAGCACTACTATATTTTGGGCAGACCATCGATTTGTTAAAGTGTTTTTAGTTAAAGCTGCTTAACATTTCATCCGAAACAACGTAAAAAAGCAGCGTAACATTCACAGAGGCACTCTTACGAATGATAAGATAAGGCAGAAGATAAGAAGTTGCCAAAGATAACAAATTCACGGCACTGGTAAAGATAAACCGATTATGAAGACATTCACGATGGATTTGAATAAGTTATTATTAATATTTTGCTTCAAGAATCCATGATTTTAAATAGTCCAGCCCCTTCTGAATCCACTGCTGAATGAAGGCTTCTCTAATTTGCGTTGGTCGTGGGGGTTGTTTGACCATACTTCATGCTGGACACTGCACGTTGCAATGGGGCCCAGGACCGGTTCATAAATCACTCACCACTCATGTTTGCTGTGGCTGGCAAAGTTATCTTTTGATGTATTCTTTGTCATTTTGTAATGTCACGTAATCTTACAATTCCCAATGTATGCTCTGTATAAACGTATGCTCCTTTTTGATGAGGAGCAGTATTCTGGGAGTGAAGCCACACGTTTGGTGGACCATGTGAATGTCGTTGTCTTTTGAACAGGAAACTTTAATGGTGATATTGATGATGACTTACTCATGCCAAATGGGTCATTGGCTGCTTCCGAAACCAAGCTGGGAAACAGTTGGATATCAGATAACAGCTCAGCTGAGTGAGTGATCACTCGCCCATTTTGCATCTTCGTGTAAAATATTATTCATGAAAACTGCACTTTCTGTTTGCTTTCTGTTTTTTTAGACAGTTTCGCTGGTGTTAAATTGCTGCACACCATTTCCCGCTTTCTACGCTTTTTAAAACTATTTTATGAGTCAAGATTTATGCTGCGCAATCCACTCGGCACACATGGAATTCGAAGAATCTGCCAAATACACGTCATTGTGCATTTTCTGCCAAATACACGTCATTGTGTATTTTCTGCCAAATACACGTCATTGTGTATTTTCTGCCCATGGACAAAGCTGACTATTCAGTCTTAGCTTCTGTTTCCGAATGCCATGACTCTGTTCATGGACTGGTGGATCATGAATTGTGTCTTAACTTCACTATAGCCTCACCGACTTTTATCCATTTCTCCCGTGGACTCAGGCACAGCAGAATGTGCTGCACAGGCGGTGCAAATACTGCTGCGTGGATTGCAGTTTGTGGACCTGTGATAAGTTCTAGAAAACACCCTTCGTTCTGCCTAAGTGGGGAGGATCGATATTCACATACATTATATTTGGGTCCCTTGTCTCCGATTTAAAAATGGTTACAGTAAGTGACCGGTTTTTCTTAAGACAATGCAAGGGTGATGACTGGAATGATGTTGATGTGGTAATAATAGTTTGCTTTTTGTTTTATTTGCAGCTGCGACGTTGACTTTGAGCCTCCAGGTCCCTGTGATGCAGAAGAACAGGCTAAGTTTGAATCGGAGGAATTTTGTGGAAAGATACATGATGTCAATGGTAAGTCCAGTTATGTATGACTGCTGAATGTACAATTTCCCTTTAAACAACTTTGTTTCAATTCAGATATAATACAGAAATATACGTTGATAGTTCTAGTTTATGTTGATAATTCTACTCTATGGGATGTCTAGCAAAAACATTAGCAAGCTTCAGCATGTTCAACATTATTTGGCAAGTGTCGTGACGGGTACTGGAAAATCCGACCATGCCTATCTATACTCGTTGGTTCTATTGGGTAAAGTCACGTAGGTGAAAATTAAATAACAAAAAATCACGACTTTTCGGCCACAACACAAGCGGCCTTCATCAGGTGAAGGGACGAGACTGTCTGGAGGACAGCACTGGAGTGTTTCATGGAGAAATTTGAATCAGACGCCATCCAGACTTCCACCCTCAGACCTTCTCTGTGGAAGAGATATGTAGACGACACTTTCGTAATTTGGCCACATGGCCTCCCAGCTTTGAACCTTTTCCTAGACCACATTAATTCCAGACACCCCGCCATCAAATTCACCATGGAAGTGGAGAAAGATGGCAAGCTGCCATTATTGGATGTTCTGCTTGAGAGGAGACCTGATGGCTCATTGGGACATTCTGTCTACAGGAAACCCACCCACACAGATTGCTACTTGAAACCTGATCCCACCACCACCCGACGCAAAATAATTATCTCATCAAAACGTTATACCACAGGGCTCATTGCATTTCGGACCAACACCACCTGACCAGTGAATTAAAACATGCCTATCTATTTCCCGCTGAACTGCTTTGGCTTCCGGTTGCTGAACGAATACATTACAAGTTCACACTCACTGCACACAAAGTGCTTGCTACAAATGAACCACAATACTCTGCTGATCTCATCCAGGAGCATAAACAGTCACACAAACTCCACTCATCCTCACACCAGCTTTTGGCTAACCATCGAACAAAGATGGTCACCGCATGAAGGGCTATCAGATGCACTTCTACAGCCGTGTGGAACACACTTCCTTCCAATATTAGGAAGCCACTGGAGCTCTGTACTTATACATTTTAATTTAAAACTCATTACTTTAGAAATTGTATTGTTTAGTTTGTTTTCCTTTCCCCACACCTCCGATTAGCACAGTTGACGACATACCATGTGACAGGTTAACCTACATTCATACATAGTTGCAAATATCGCTGTGTTGTAAATGATATTCACGTCGCTTGTGAACAGGAGCATTCCAAGAGTGCCATGCAGTGGTCAATCCAGAGCAGTTTTTCATCACCTGCGTTCTTGACCAGTGCTGGATGGATGGGAACGAGCAGTTCCTCTGTGCCTCCATGCAGACCTACGCTGACCAGTGTGCCCAGCATGGGGTCATCATCATGTGGAGGAACGACACCTTCTGCCGTGAGTACAAACCTGTCTGAGCTTTAATCCATAACACATCACATTGCATGAGACTAGGCCTTGTTTTTATTCTGTGGAAGCACAATGTACATCTGTGTGGTTTGTTCATTTGTATAGCTGCTTGCAGTTGTGCATCCCCATTGTAATTTATCTCCGAAAATGTTTATCTTTGTGTTGACAGCGCTCGAATGCCCTGCAGACAGCCACTATGAGAGCTGTGCCCCACCGTGCCCAGCCACGTGCAGAAATGTGACCCTCCCAGGTGCCTGCCAGCAGCCCTGTGGGGAGGGCTGTGTCTGTGATGAGGGTTTTGTCTTCTCAGGAGACAAGTGTGTCGCTCAAGATCAGTGTGGCTGCATGGACCACAACGACCTCTATCACCCGGTGGGTTAACCCTTCACATCATGTGAATTCAACAATGATCATTTATTAATATCCACATAGGCAAGCTGAGCTTTGTATTGTTTTGGTATATGACGTACCAGTAAACATTTTCATTTTTAGGACTAATATATAAGTAAAGATGGAGTGCATTAAGTTTCACGCTGGAGTAAAATGGTGAAAATAATAAACAAAATGAACAAATGCAATGTATGTATGTTGCAATGATGTTGAAATATATCAGATAATGTTTCAATAAGCTTTTCCAGTTATGTATATTTCATGATTCTCATCGTGCATTCGTTTTCGCAGCTTGGGGACAGCTGGTTTGCAACACAGAACTGCAGTCTGCATTGCTCTTGTGGCGATGCTGGAGGCGTGGTCTGTGAGCCCTGGCAGTGTGGAGTCTCCGAGATCTGCAGTGTGCAGAATGGAAGCCTGGGCTGTCACAGCGATGGTAAGATTTTCCCTACTTGTCCTAATGGACTTTTCAGCCCATACAATGATAGTAATATTGTAACAAAAATATAATATTGTATAAAATTACGCTCGCATTGATGATACATCAATATATTTATTTTTGTATATTTTTTACCACAGATACCACAACAGTTTCACCGCCAACAACAACTGCTCCTCCAAGCATAAGTAATCAAGGACTACACATCGATATCTCTTGGCCAGGATATTTACTTACAAAATAAATGTTTCAGAACTTTGCTCTAATATATATTGCTCAGAATGTGAATGTGTTCGACAAAGCATGGAGCCTTCAAAACTGAGTTTCCTGGTCCAAATGCCGGCAATTAGCTCATTTATTCTCATTTTTCAAGGATTGCAAGTTGATGGGTTAAACACGGATTTGAGAAATTTAAACAAATCTTGCCTGTTTTTAACTTCATTTAGTGTAATCATGACTTGAGGGGAGAAGTTTTTTTTTATATTAACGATGAAAAAATGACTCTATCTCCAGTTTATGAAGATATTCTTGGTTCTTTCGGTAAAGTCACGTGACTTTACCGAAAGAACCAAGAATATGAATTTCTGCAGTCACGAAAGTTTTAAGTCAAAATTTATAAAGATAATTGACCAATCACCAGAAGTATCCCTGTTGTAGAGAACATTTGGCTACCCCGTGGTGCAATTGATTCACACGTTGCAACCACTCAAAGGACCACGTTCACCACAATAGTAACAAAAGCATTATTTATTGCATCAAATTGAGATCCTGAATTGTGACAATGCATTGACTTGCAATAGGAGCAACTGTTGCATTCTTCATACACTGTAATATATATCTGAGCTGCTCATATAAACTAAAGTAACCAAACAGAGTATTATTTTGATACGGCCCATGTATCTCATCAATTTCATCACATAAGGACTATCGGAACCTACTTTTGGTAAATATATCATGGTGGCAATTTAATCTAAAACGTTGACTGTAGTTAATTGAAATAAATCATAATTAAGTGGGCTATGACAGTGACATTAAAGTGAATGTTTAAAAATCTCTTTCAGTGCCTGGAAACTGCATCGTGCATGGAGATCCGCACTACGTCACATTTGATGGGCTCTCATTGGCATTCATGGGAACGTGCACCTACACAACAGCTAAGCTGTGCAACAGTTCGTCTCATCTGCCCTACTTCAATGTGGAAACAACCAACGAGTATCGCAACCAGGGCTCCATCTCATTTGTCAGAGAAGTTCACACAGAAGTCTATGGACAAAACATCACCTTGTCCTTGGGTCGTACCCTTCTGGTGAGAATTCAACTTTACACAAGCATTGAAGACTTGAAAGTGGCTATACGTCTGTCAAATTTTCTTGATGATTGCATTGGTCTGAGCCATTCAATTGTATCCAAAATGATGTATATTGCAGGAGGAAATATGTTTCCATAACAGTGCTGATTGCATGAGTTTTTCTAATATGGTATACATATGAATGCATCAATGTTTTAACTTATCATTGTCTAGAATCCTCACAAGCATATAAGTTTACATCCGACTTCAAACTATGCTGGTTTTATTTCTATCCCCTTAGAAGAGTTCAGTGAGCAGTGATTCACATTCAGAGTGGACTCTATTATTGTTCGATTAGATAATATCACCATCATACTCTACATTTTGGAATCCTTAAGTTGGTTGGAAGCACGGTCATTGATAAGCAATATCAAATATAATTAAGAAGCTTACAATTAATACAAGATAAAACCCTACATATCCAGGCAATGTACATATCAAGTCCAACTTTCCACCAGTGCAATGCAGATGAGAGGTTAAAATTTATTTTGTAGATAAATTAGTCAATTATGTGGTACCTCTTAATTTTCTTTGCAACATTATCCATTGATCGTGAGGTAACCAAGAGTAGAACCCCCGTGGAATGACTTGCGATGCCTGTGTCTCCTGTGCGCTGATCTCCAGCTGAATGAGGAGCTGGTGACGCCCCCACTGGTGTTGCCAGGGCTGCATGTCTCTCTGAGTGGCTCATACCTCGTGCTCATGACTGACTTTAATCTGATTGTTCGATTCAATGGAGACAATCGGGCGGAAGTAACTGTGCCAAGAGAGTACGCAGAGGAGCTTTGTGGCATCTGTGGTGAGACCATGTTTGTGAGAGTTCCATAGCAGCACTTAGACAAGGCTTTAACTGCTCTATTTACGTTCTTTGTTCAGAAAGCACTGCTGTGTTATTGCCATCTAATCACCATGCAGGATTAATTATGTCAACTGCCAATATTTAGGGTTTTTTTTAATAATTGAAATATTACACCATTCACGTTATGAAATTGTTCACTTAATTTGCAATCTGAACGTAACGTACACTCACTTTTCTGAAGACATTGCTTCCCGTTACATCACACATCTTCATATTGACTCTCCCACCCATGCTGAGGAATGTCCTTTGGGGTTAAGTACTCTAAGAATAAAAGAGGTTGCATACATTGTAAGACATATATAGAAACATTTCAATTTAATTTATAAATTCCCCATTACACCCCTTCACATGCGGCAATGTGTAATGTATGGATGTCCCTGCTAACGGTCTACGATAGTTCACCCCCGTGGACATGCGCCACATGCCACTGATTGCGAGGCACCAATCTGTGCACAAACCCTAATCTCAGGGAGATGAATCACCTCAGCTGGGAAAGCCAACTTTGCTTTCCAACCTGTGCTAATTGAGGTACGCTCCCCACTCTCCCCTCCATTGAATCGTGATGGAGCCACCTACCGAGAATACTCGGCAGCACGCATTGAATGTAATATTTTAACATTTAAAGTTTATCGAAAAATGGCATTGTTGAATATTACTGATATATTTAGCTAGCAATGTTTAATCAAATCAGGGCCTGGCTTGGCATATGCATAGTTGACCGCACCTCCGATTAGCGCGGGTGGCTATGTACAGTGGAAAATAAGTTTAGCGTACATACATACTGTACATACATTACACATGGCTCTGGAAATGGTTTTAGTTATAAGTTCATTTCACAATCATTTCTGTATTGTTGACTTGAATCCAGTTTTGAGGCAATACATGTGAACATGAGAATAGTTTTTACCCTTTTAACTGGCACAAAAAAATGATACCTTTATTCAAGGCATCATGTTTGCAATAACCACAACACAAGCAGTCAAAATGCAAACAAAAAAGACAACTCTGATAATATGCACTGTCCTTGAATTTGATTCGTCCACACCCGAGACAGCTTTTCTTAGAGCCTAGTCTCCATTGGTGTTGGACCAGAAGACGCCAAAAGGCGTACAACTCAAAAACAGCGCACTATCAGAGTATTGAGGGCTCGGGGTGAGCATTAACATTATCAGACCTCCTTTGCCAGAAACAAGATATAAGAATAGGTTTTACCCTTTTAACTGGCACAAAAAACTGACACCTTTATTCAAGGCATCATGTTTGCAATAACCACAACACAAGCAGTCAAAATGCAAACAAAAAAGACAACTCTGATAATATGTACTGTCCTTGAATTTGATTGGTCCACACCCGAGACAGCTTTTCTTAGAGCCTAGTTTCCATTGGTGTTGGACCAGAAGACGCCAAAAGGCGTACAACTCAAAAACAGCGCACTATCAGAGTATTGAGGGCTCGGGGTGAGCATTAACATTATCAGACCTCCTTTGCCAGAAACAAGATACAAGAATAGGTTATACCCTTTTAACTGGCACAAAAAACTGACACCTTTATTCAAGGCATCATGTTTGCAATAACCACAACACAAGCAGTCAAAATGCAAACAAAAAAGACAACTCTGATAATAATATGCACTGTCCTTGAATTTGATTGGTCCACACCCGAGACAGCTTTTCTTAGAGCCTAGTCTCCATTGGTGTTGGACCAGAAGACGCCAAAAGGCGTACAACTCAAAAACAGCGCACTATCAGAGTATTGAGGGCTCGGGGTGAGCATTAACATTATGAGACCTCCTTTGCCAGAAACAAGATATAAGAATAGGTTTTACCCTTTTAACTGGCACAAAAAAATACATGTGAACAGTTTCATCTGTGTTTTAACAGGAAACTTTAATGGTGACCGTACTGATGAATATCTGATGCCCGATGGGACGCAAGCTTCTTCACCAACTGAGCTGGGAAACAGTTGGAAAACAGACAACAGCTCCGCCTAGTGAGTGGCCACCTCTCTATCGTTTACCATCACCTTAAGTCTTGCCTCTGGTTTGTGGTTATGGACTTGTACCTTTGTCTATTTGTAGCTGTGACGCTCCACCTCCACCTCCCTGTGATGAAGATGAGCAAGCAGAGTTTGAAACAGGGGCATTCTGTGGAATCATCACAGATGTGAATGGTCAGTGTGATAAGTTCTATATATTGCAGCAATAGTTATTGAAAATTTGCTTCATAATCAATGAAGAGGACAATTGAGTCGCAAAATGTGTTTCCCTTGTGAACAGGATTGTTCACAGAGTGCCATGCAGTGGTCAATCCAGAGGAGCTGTTCACCAGCTGCGTGCTTGACCAGTGCTGGACATATGGGGACAAGGGCACCCTTTGTGGCTCCCTTCAGGCCTATGCTGATGAGTGCGCGGAAAATGGCATCGTCATCATGTGGAGGAACGCCACCTTTTGTCGTGAGTGCAAACCGCTCTGAGCTTTAATTCGTAACACATCGCATTGCATGAGACAGGGCCTTGTTTCTATGCTGTGGAAGCACAATGTACATCTGTGTGGTTTGTTCATTTGTATAGCTGCTTGCAGTTGTGCATCCCCATCGTAATTTATCTCTGAGTATGTTTATCATTTGTGTTGACAGCGCTCGAATGCCCTGCAGACAGCCACTATGAGAGCTGTGCCCCACCGTGCCCAGCCACGTGCAGCAATGTGACCCTCCCAGGTGCCTGTCAGCAGCCCTGTGGGGAGGGCTGTGTCTGTGATGAGGGTTTTGTCTTCTCAGGAGACAAGTGTGTCCCTCAAGATCAGTGTGGCTGCCTGGACCGCAACGACCTCTATCACCCGGTGGGTTAATCCCATCTTTATTTTTTTTACTTTCCCACTTTGTCCTTTCATACTGTAATTTTTCAGTTGCAGAACAACCTTTGATTACTTTAGGATACCTGTTGAATGGGTGTCATCGATTTTTTTTCTTTTAAATTGTTTGAGAGCCTGACAGCTGGATATTTTTGGTTATCTCAATAACCATAAATGTTTAATAGGTGAAACATGAGTAAATGCCATCCCTCCCTCCCCTTCACCATCCGGGCCACTATCCAAGCTGTCCAAGCTCCACATGTACTCCATAATAGAGGTTTTTTGGGTTAGATCGCGATCTAACACAAAAAACCTCTATTATGGATGATATTGGTCGTGTTAAATCCACATGTACCATTTCCTGCACTCAAGATGTGAGCGCTTCCATTACCAATGCTCATTAAATGCTTCCAAGGACAAACACGTGCTGGAAAGCATCACAGAATACAAGCATGTGCATGTTCTCCACTTCCTCCATATTGAATAGTGTTAAAATTTACAAAAATACGATGTTTCGCTGGTGATTACAATCAGCTAATAGCCTCATGAAGCTGGTTGTGATCGCCAGCAAAACGTCATTCTCAAATTGTAAATGCTGTGGGTTACTCTCCAACACACCGGTGTTCCTCATTAGTAACTAATTGGCACGTTTTGTTTACATGACAAACCTTATTAATTGGTTGTGTGCGGTGGTGGTGGGTTTAACGACAGATCTATATTCACATAATGTAACCCTCAAAAAGCCATTTATTACAGATAATATTGGTCGTGAAAGCCTATGTGTTATATATTTGCACAACTGGCTATAAAGACTGGCCGACTTATTACAGAGCCACCTCCAGATCTGCCAACCCACTCATTGACTCGCAGAGCATAGAATGGTCTGCGAGAATCAATAATGAGTTGGCTCATTATTGAGTTCGCAACCCCCATGCTGTGTGACGCGTCTTGAAGCATCTGCTGTACTTCAACAACCCATCATCCAATCAACCCGGTGTGTGCACAGTACTTGTGGCGTTCTTCGGCAATAAAATAGTGACGATCAAGACGGACATTTTTAACTGAAGGCAATGTATTCTCCCAGTCTGCCATTTGAGTTTCATTAATCTGGAACTAATGCAGAACTCAAGACCCTGGCACCAAAGTGAATGGCAGAGGTGTCGATGCTCATCGAACGGCTGCCAAATAATACATTGCCGCTCGGCTACATCCACAATGTCGATTCTCAAATTATGCTCGGACGTGGTTGCGTCACTCATTGTACACCTGGCAATTCTTTGTTTGAGCGTGAGCTGTTTCCCAGACCAGTTCTGATTGGCATAGGTAAAACCGCTCCTGAAAAAAGTTGGCTTGAGCCATATTGACCCCGCAAACTATCGCCCGATCTCAAACCTGAGTATGGTTTCAAATTAGTGCCTTTGAAGCGGGCACTTCCGTACATTGCTGCTAGGGGCAGATTCAACCCTTGCAGGAGGCGTACCGGAAGTTCCATAGCATTGACACAGCTCTAATCAAGATCACTGATGACCTCTACAAGATCATGGATGACTGGTGTGCCACAGCGTTGGTTGGCCTCTTAGCTGCCTTCGACACCATCGACCATGAGATATTCATCGGGTGGTTAATGTGTATTTGGCATGGCACTCGGGTGGATTGAGTCAAACATACGTGGTTGATCACAGTTTGTAAAGCTGGGTGACGAACAGTCCTCGCATATGCCATGCCTAGTTGATGTACCACAGGAGTCCGTATTCGGGCCCTTCCTATTTTCAACATATGTCTCTCCGATCCCCAATCTCATCTCAACTCATGACATTAAGTTCCATCAATGTACACAATGGTACTCCGGAGTGAAGTCAAAGAATCCACATGAGCATTGCACGTGTGATTTGCACGAAACAAAATGCTGCTTCATCCAGAAAAACTGGAGGTTCTGTGAGTTGGCATTCAGGCTCAGGCGAAAAAAATTGTGGGAGGATTGTATGTGGTGGTTACAAACTCCGTGATTCAGTTTTCTACGAATATAAAGAGCCTCAGCACCATACTGGACTAGAAGATGTCGTTTGATCACCACGTGCAAAATATAATCAGGTCCTGCAATTTCCATATCAGGGCTCAGACACCATCGACCACTATTGAGTGGTGACATAGCCAGCACGGTGGCATGTAGTATAGTATCTACAAGGCTCGATTATTGCAACTCACTACTCTATGGGATGTCTGCCAAAAGCATTTCCAAGCTGCAGCGTGTACAACATTCTTTGGCACGTGTCATGACGGGTACTGCAAGATCCAACCATGTCCGTCCACTGAGATACATTGGCATCCAGTTGCCGAACTAATACATTATAAGGTCATACTCATTATCCACACTAAGTGCTTGCCACAGATGAATAAAAATACCTTACTGATCTCAAGGAGCATAAACCATAACGTGGTCATCTTCGCAGCAGCTTTTGGCAAGCCATCGCGCGCATTCAGATGTGCGTCTACGGCCATTTGGAGCGTTTTTCCTTCCAATCTTAGCAAGCCAATGGAGTTATGCACTTTTAAATCATCTAGATTGAAAACTAATATATTTAAAATGTTTTTTTTTTGTTTTTAGTTTGTGTCCTTCCTTTTCTGATTAGTACGAGTGGCTATATATGGTGCGAAATAAGTTCAACATACATACAAAGGACTATTCTATTCTTATGCTTGGTAATATGCTCCAGAGCTGAATGCCAATGTCACGGTCTGTTGACCACAAGAGGGCTTCAGGACAGAATTTGTGTGGTTTTGCCGTTCCTCCTCCGTTTAAGGAGCGCAGACTACAGTGGTTTACTGTGCAGTCTATGGTTTGGGTTGCATGGCCACATTCACCTTGTGGCTTGTGTCTTTAATTTTCCATTCATGAAGGAGATGTGTGCGAGAGCCTGTTGATGTTCTGATGCGGTTGCTGATTGCTTTAATCAACTTAAGAGATTTGCTTCAAATAATGATAAAATCTCATGATCAATCCAGCAGTATATGTATGATAATCATGGTTGATGAGGATAAAGATGACATGCATTTGTTTTGTTATTTTACAGCTTGGGGATCACTGGTTTGGAACACAGAACTGCAGTCTGCATTGCTCCTGTGTCAGTGTGGGAGATGTGGTCTGTGATCCCTGGCAATGTGGAGCTAATGAGATCTGTAATGTGCAGAATGGCACTCTGGGCTGTCATGATATTGGTGAGCCTTCCAATGTCTTTCATGCTCAATTTATATATTTTCTGATATTAGCATTGAAAAAACTTTTATATTTTGCCAACTTCCTATCAGTGTTTTTTTAATTGAATTATGTCGAATTTTTTGGCGAAAGGCAGATAATCTTGACAAATGGTGAGTCTTGGACTTTTACTACGAAGTCAAAACCCTTAAATCCCACTCAATCACAGAGGAGTTTCTTTGTTTACAATCATTAACTGTACTATACACTTATCCCTGCCAAAGGAATGTGGAATTTATACCATTGGCTCAAGGCTTTGAACAAGAGGATAGCACAGCCCCACTCTAGGGGAGTAGAAAACCACAATTTAATATTGCTTGTTGAAATTGCTTCTAATATAACTTATTATACTTAAAAATTAACGTCCTGCCTAAACACTCATATAAATGAACTCTATATGATTGTACTTTCTTCAATATACATTTTTCTATCTTTTTACTTTCATGACAAACTTTGGAGTAAATCATATTTTGAACGGAGAAGAGTTAGCCAATTCTAGATTTGGGAAAGAGCCAGTTCTAGATCTGTATTGATGATAACATGCAAGGTTTAATTTTGTAAAGAAGCTCCTTGGAGACATTCATTTTCAGGGGAGTTGAGCTTTATTTCTCCGAAAGTATATAGAGTTTGAGCATAACGATTGCTACACTGATTATGGCTATGGCTCTTCAGTCCTGGCAGTTTCCACTATGTTGAGCCTTGAACAGTGAACCCCGATGGTTTCCACTATGTCAATCTCGAACAGTCGGCCCCGATGTCGCCCACCTCTGGTCGTCGATTAGTCCTCGAGCAAGCGCCTCGACCGCGGCCCTCGCACCCCCTTTTATATACTGCTTGGCCCTGCCCCTATTGGACAGTGTGCCCCCCCCCCCCACTTAATTATAACAGGTGTGACAGTGCCTTCTGGTCACCTGTTTTCAACCACCTCAACCTGTTTTCAATCATCTCTACTCAGCCTTCTAGAGCCTTCTCTTGTACAGTCCCCTACAATGTTATGCTTTAAGGTCAATAAAATGTGGTCATGATTAGCACAATTTTATTGTTAGTCTGTGCAATTTCTCTTACATAAGTTGAACAAACATGAATGGCTTCGGGCAAATTTATTTTCAGCATAAATACATTTTTGTGCGAAATTAGTTTTAACAAAATTGAGAAAGAAAATGGCTGAAATGCTTTGTCAAGGTATTCTCTAACAAATACATTTTTGCATGTTTAACACGTAAGCTTTCGCCACCACCCGACACAGCCAACTAGTAAGGGTTGTCACGTAAACAGAACATGCCAATTTGTCACTTGTGTCGGGTGGTGGCGGGTTTAAGAACACATTTATATATTTACGAGATCTAACCCAAAAAAACCTCTATTATGGACATTTTAGAATATATATATACATGAAAATCGATATTGTGTATTTCAGAAACGTCAAGTTCCCCAAGCACATGCATACCAGCTCCAAAACCAGGTACACATTAAACATTGGACGTTTCGTTTGTATAATTTTATCTATGGTATTGTCTATTGTGTTCTGATTTAGCTCCAAGTATTTTTTACATGTTTGTGTAAGAAAAAAACAGCCCAAACAAAAGGATAATTCCCTGGAAAGTTTAGAATAGCAGCATCCTTAATAACCAACGAGGGAAAGCCTTACTTTTTCTCAAGGCTTTTCAGAAGGGTTCTGCTTGGGATGTCGGGCCTTGTTTTTAAAGCAACCTACTTCATGCACCGACTTCCAAAAGCTCTCTTCGCCCTGCAGGTTGGGTCTCATGTAATGTTTAAGTGATTCAACTGCTCGAAAAAAAATGCAAAATTTCAGCCATGTGTCACCGCTGAGTGTCACCGCCATAAGACTGAGTCAAAGATAAAAAGTAATAATTTGTTTAGCTTATTCACTCAGTTTTTAAGCCAAATATTAATACATGTATATTATACCAGAGCCATGGCTAACATCAATTGCATATGAACCAGTCCTGGTGCTCATTACCCACATCCTGTTAACCAAACCACTCTCAAGAGTGTGGTGAAGGTCAAACAAAATGACCCACACTGTGTGGGGAGTCCTTCATCCAAAAGTTGATTGATGAATGGCTGCACTATTCTGTTGACGCTGTATATTTATGAGAAAAAAATATTAAATACATTGCTTTTCTTCATAACTGAACCTTCTTTGATGTGTTTTATATTCGTTTCTGCTCTCTTGATAGAACCGCATCTCAGCTGTGACTTTGACGATGAGGAATCCCCGTTGTGCAGCTGGGTGCAACTCAGTGCCGATGCTGCGGACTGGATCAGCCACTCAGGAGAAACTCCAAACCCTTTTACTGGACCAAGCGGTGATCACACCACAGGCTGTGAGTGAAGCACACTTTTGTTGGTCCAACTGCTCGTTGTGTTTAATTCATTGTGCTACGAGCTTCTCGTGTGTGTGTGTGTTGTGGACAGCAGTAGTGTAGTGGTTACAACACTGCACTGCGAAGATGTTAACCCGAGTTCAACCCCTGCTAATGGCCATCATTGACAAATATCTGAAATGGTCCTGGGCCTCCCCTAGGTCAACTCAGCCTCAAATGAGTACCTGGTGGTGCAGTGTGTAAAACCAGCAATGGGGAGATGGTGGCCAAGCATGGTCCTTGCCACACCACCTACTGATGTGCTGTGGGTGGGAAGAGGTGATATGATGGTTAGTGCAGGGCACTATATTGATATATACCTAGTAAGCCTGGGTCTTTGCCACATAAATTCAGGCTACAATTATTGCTTCGTGATAATTACTGGGAAGACAAAGGCAGGTGAATAGTTTTGACCGCCACCACCTCGATATGCAAAGCCACGTATGCTTAGTATCAGTCACAGTATTTAAGGTGGCAATGTTAATTTGTAGTATTTTTGAGCAGAGCTGTCTCCATGTTGGGAATTTTTTCACGTCCCAATGTAATATAATTAAGCTGTTGCCAATACCTATTCAACATTATGAGACCTCCTTTGCCAGTAGCAAGATATAGTAATAGGTTTTTACCCTTTTATCTGGCACCAAAACTGACACCTTTATACAAGGGATCATGTTTGCAATAACCACAAAACAAGCAGTCAAAATGCAAACAAAAAGAGACAACTCTGATAATGATATGCACTGTCCTTGAAATTGATTGGCCCACACCAGTGGAGACTAGGTTCTAAGAAAAGCCGTCTCGGGTGTGGACCAATCAATTTCAAGGACAGTGCATATCATTATCAGAGTTGTCTCTTTGTGTTTGCATTTTGACTGTTTGTGTTGTGGTTATTGCAAACATGATCCCTTGTCTTCTTTGGTTCTTTCGGTAAAGTCACATAGAATGAGAATAAAATAATAAATTAATAAAATAAAATAACACAATAAAATTCTCACGAAATATGATCCTTTGTATAAAGGTGTCAGTTTTGGTGCCAGATAAATGGGTAAAAACCTATTACAATACCTATTCAAATTAGTAAGTTTTCTTATCACATAATTCACCATAGGTGGTATATATTTCTGCTGTGGCACACAGACTAAAACAGCTCACATAGTAGGGACTGGCCTGTGATGTTATCCATGCCAAAAAAAAAATAGAAACTGAAAATACAACTGAAAAAAATCCATAAAAGATCAAGGTCTTGAACAGTAATGGAATGCCTCTTTTTCAGCGACCTCCTACATCTACATGGACTCAATAACCCTCGTCTCTAGAGGAGCAGTGCGACTTCAGAGCCCCAGCATTAACTCCCACCAAAATATCTGCCTGAGCTTCTGGTACCACATGTATGGCGACAACCTGATGACGCTAAACGTGTACGTCCTGGACGACGACATAGAGACGGACGTTTGGAACGTCGTGGGGCAGCAGAGCAGCGCCTGGTTGCAGGGATCCATTACCATCCAAGCCACGGCCAGCAGTCAGGTCGGTGCACTCTCACATAATATTGATTACATTTTTGTATGTGCATATGTGTGTTGAACTTCTTTCGCACCTTGCATAGCCACTCGTGCTAATCGGAGGTGCGGAAAAAAGGCAAATGTCAATGACGAATGACAAAAGTACTAAATAGTCATGACTAACTTTAGTAACTGGCCTTTAGTAATCTAGTAATATTAACGTTGTACTTGTTGTGTGTTATTCATGAACACTGTATGAGGGTGAATTGCACATATTGAAATTGTGAATTGATGTCGTCTCTAGATCATCATAGAGGGAGTTAGCGGATTCACAAAATCAAGTGACATAGCCCTGGATGACATCATGGTAATAGCAGGAAAATGTGCAGGTGAGCACACAATATCAGCATTCACTACATCCATACAGTAGCCAGTGTTCTCATGTATTGGGCGGTTCTGAAATCCATTAATGGTCCTGGATTTAGTAGTGTAAATTCCACTTTCCTATGGTAATGGTCATTATATCCATTGGACAACCACTGTTGATTTCCCTGCAAAAGTATGTCAGCCTAACCAGGTGGGGCTCATTTCACTGGCTCTAGTAGGATGACGAGGCGGATAGTGTGATGATGATGGGGTTGAGGTGATATTAACCAATAATTTAACTCACGATTGGGACCTTGTCAACTGTGATTTGCTCACTGACATTTAAAATTAAATAGATATGCATGCATTTTTAAAAATAAAATATTGTTTGCGCAACATTTCCATTTACACAAGCCCAATTGTATTTCCTCTGCTGGGAAGGTTACTGTTCATGATAACGGTAAAGTGTGTGTTTTTACACCTGTGCTATTGCTGAGTTTTATTGAAGGATTTGCACAATTCCAGAATCTTAATTACTAAAATAAACGTAGACAATGCATTTTTAGTGATTGTAATGACCAACTTTCCATTTTCCCCATTTTCCAAACGCAACAGTGTGTGTGAGCGGGTGTGATTTTGACAAGGACGAGGGTCTGTGTCAATGGCGCAACAGCGAAGAGGATGATGGAGACTGGGAGCTGTGGCTTGGACAGACAGATGCAGAGGGCACGGGGCCCGATGACGACTTCACTCGACCTGGCTGTTTGTACCTTTCGTCAAATTTACAATTTACACGAAGCTCTAAGATGAATGGATAATCAGACCACACAATCTGTAAAGCTATCACCCCAACAGTTGGGAAAGAACCATCTGAGGACCCAATCAAAACCATTACCTTGCCATACGTAAAAATATTTCCAAAATCATGAGCAAACACAAGATCCAGGTTGGATTTAACACAGTACATAAAATTCGTGATCTGATCCCATCTGTGAAGGATGTTTTCCCTGACATGCAATACCCCGGCGTCTACAAACTAGTTCATAGTTCATTTATTTGGTATAGCCCTGTGAGCCATTCGGCTCTTGAATCGGGTGCAACCGCAACAAACAAAAAACATGAACAAGAAAACATCTTAAAGTGATTTTGTGACTGTGCAAACAGACAATACAGGAAAAAAATATCAAAATATTCCTGAAATAGCACCGTCCACCAACGCTGTGTGCAAAAATCCCAGTGGGATGCAAGTCAAAAACAACAACAACCACAAGACAACTCAGATTAAGGCCATCAGTCTAACTCCGTACTACAATAAACAAAAACATGGCCAAAACAAAAAAAAAACTTTTCGAAATCACCAAAATAAAAGCCATAAATGCAATGTAACAGTGATCATAGGGACTGTGACCGAATTTTTAACAATAAACTACATAAATAAATTATAACACCAAAATCTAGGGCCATAATTTAGGCCACTGAATAGCAGTGGCAGCTAGGGTTGTACAACTCCTCTAGAGCAGTTTTGAGTGAAGATCTCATAGGTAGTGATTCAAGTTGCAGTTTATTGGCAATAGCATTCCAGACCCTGGGGGCATCAATAGCAAAAGCTCTTCCTCCAGTTTTTGTACGGCAATAGGGAATGTGAAGCTGGTAAATGAGCGAAGACCTGAGGTCAAATTTGTTCTTTGAAACAGAGAGGAGATCCAGTAGGTAGTCTGCGGAATTTTTTGTAAGTACATCGTGAATAAATAAGATCTGGTGCACAAGCCGTCGAACATTAAGAGATGTTAAGTTTGACCCAATGTAGAGATCACAGTGGTGAGTCCTATATGGGCAGTTCAATGCAAATCTTAAGGCCGAGTGATAGATGGAATCAAGCTTCTTCAGTACAGTACTTGGGGCTGATTTATACACGATGTCACAGTAGTCAAGTAGAGGCAGTATGGTAGCTTTTATCAATTCCAAACGGAACATTGGGGGGAAGCAGTGCTTGTGTCGATACAGAAAACCAATTTTTATTTTTGTCTTTTTACCAATATAATCAATGTGATCTTCAAAACTAAGTTTTGAATCCAGGATGACCCCAAGATACTTATAGATCTTGCCTTGCTCTATTTGATAATTATTCAAGGAATATAATTGGGGAAAAATAACTTCCTGCTTTAGTCCCGGAGAGAAGCATAGCACCTTGGTTTTGGAGGTATTCAGGACTAGTTTAAGAGAAACTAGCTGATGTTGTAGTTTGTTGAAATCACCCTGGAGCTTAGCAATCACGTCATCTGGAGAGCGGCCAGCAGTAATCAGTATCGTGTCATCTGCAAAAAGATTTACCCTGGAATGATCCAGTTGAGTGCCCAAGTCATTGACATAAAGAGAGAATAAGAGGGGGCCGAGGATGGGGCTGTGTCTGTGGCAGTAGTTACATTGGGAAAACTAAGCAACATGTCTCGGACCGTGTTCGTGAACATAGGCAGATCTGAAACACGGCAGGACCAATACCTCGTGGCTGATCATTGTTTTAATGCGGTGGGCTCATACGAAATTGATTTCTCTAAGACGAAGGTACTTTGCAAGCCCACTGGCTATCAACAAAGATTCGTTCATGAAGCCATCCATATATATAGACTCAGACACAATTTCAACCGAGATGGGTACAAACTGAGCAATCATTGGAAGGACGTGATTAACCAGTTTAAGGCATAACTGGCTGTGATGTTTCGATCCTACCTTCCGATGTTAGTAATTATTTTCGACTGTCTGGTTTTACATTAACAGGTGAAATGTATCACACTAACACAGCCACGGTCGCTCGTGTCCTCGATGTGGCGGTGGCTCTGCGATCTTACATTGACATGTTAATCTCTCACAATACAATGGCCACCTTCGCATCGTCGTGGATGTAGCTCTCCGACCTTACATTTACATGCAAATTTCTCACTTTAACATCACTAGTGCCGCCCACTTTGTTTATGACCCTTGGGCTGCACCCATTTAAAACCTTTAAAAACAGCCTGCCTCAGCAGCTTTCCCACTCTTTTTTCTCCTGATGACGATTACTTGTGTTACAATTGAAACGTCGTAGTTTTTTTTATTGTTATTTTCTTTGAACCTATCTATGTGACTTTACCGAAAGACCCAAGAATATGAATTCCTGCAGTCACGAACGCTTTAAGTCAAGATTCAAATTTACAACTTACAACAATGGGTGTTCTGCCTCCCTAAGAGCTACCCATCCCAACTATTTTTTTCTGCCCCACCTGTTTCTTATCACTACCCTTTGCCACCCCCAGTATCCAAGCCTGTGTGCATGTGTGCATTTTATTCAACACTGAGGGTGATGTATAGTGGTTAGTGCACTGTACTACAGTGCCAGCAACCTTGGCCCATGATGTGCTGTGAATAATGTCCATGGCAGTCATAGGATCTCCACACACAGAACACTGGGTGGTGATCATCCTCATCTGTGGAAATTCCATATTTACAACACAATTGATCGATTCTCTGGCACAGATAATTAAACATTGCCAAAAGGGGCAGAAATTGAGTCAATATAAATCGGGACTTATATAAGTTATAATCTTAGTTTTTTCGGTAAAGTCACGTTGAAGGGAAACGTCGTGAGAATTTTTTATTGTTTTATATATATTTTATTATTTTGTTGTTTCTTTTCAACGTGACTTTACCGAAAAAACTAAGAATATGAATTACTGCAGTCACGAAAGCTTTAAATCAAAATTTATATAAGTTACTCATCAAAATGCTTTATTTGTATAACTAGTCAGATGCAATCTGTTGAAATAAAATTACATTTATGGAATAAAGTTCTCATAACTTCACAATTATGGTAACCACTAGCCCAACTTATAAAACATGATCTATCTTGTGCTGTATAACCATGTTCAATCCATCACCATCATTATCATCACCACCTTCATCACCATGATCAATCAAACCATAATTTCCACCAATCCACAGTAGGAAATTGGTGGAACGCTAAGGCACAGATTAACACAGAGAGGGGGCATTTGCGACGCGACTATTTTGTTATCTTTGAAATTGCGACACTTAAGGGGTGTTTTGTGGTCAGATTCCAGCCAAAGGCAATGGGAGTCGCCAATAAGAGGCGATTCCGTCTTTTGTGTGTGCAAGTGCATCCTTGTTTATCAGTGTATTTCCACTTTGTGGGTTGTGTAGTTGGGAATTACCTCCTGCTGGACTCGTATTACACCAGTCCTGGGGACAGACTGCTACTGGAGAGTCCGCTGCTCACCTCCCCTGGCTGCTTGGTGCTGCACTTTCACTACTACATGTTTGGGACAGCAGCTGACATGGCAATCAATGTTTACGTTAAAAAAGGTAAGCTGAATTTCTTGTTTGTAAACTTAATTGGACTAGCTACGTGACAAAATTTGACGTGAAGTACAATCCTCAGATTGTATATTTGTTATTCAAGTTCTTCCTTTACTCCAAGTGTAGTGACACAGCGCCAACTGCTGTCCAGCGGCAGCAACTGCGGTGGACAGTTAGCGCACACGCCGTTGAGTATATACACGGATGTGCCGGCAGGGCGGAAGAACTGGGGCAGGGGTCACTAGAGACCTCATCGAGAAGCCCCTGGAACCCGCTAGTGGGTTCGAGAAGGAAGGTGCGGTGAGGGTGGAGCCAGGCCTCGTTGAGTAGGAAATAAGCAGCGGAGAGCGAGAGCTCCAGGCTGTCGGTTCTGGGATTGGACTCGTCTCGTCATCGCTATCGTCTTTGCCGCCTTCGTCGGTGCCGCCTTCACTCTATTATTGGGCGGCCAGATAGTTGGCTGTCCCGGTCGACGCCATCAGTGTAACGTGGTTAGGGCTATACGACATCGGGAAGCTGCGGGTGAACCTGTCAAGTTGAGAGTGATAATAACGAAGGTGCCTCCTGCACCTACCTAGTCTCTGACTTGTGCGACACTACACAAGTGATAAAACGCCCCGTTGTGTCCTGATTTGTTGTAAGTTGCGGTGGGCGAACTTGCTCACCCATAAAATCTAAAAAAAATAATAAAAACTGTCTCTTTATTATTTATTTCAATTATGTGTATTTACTCCTTACCTTTCTTATGCTATTCATTGCACACGGCTGCACTTTATTTTGCGCGTGGTTGAAATTTTGTCCGCTCAGTCAGTATTAGCTGCTTAGGGCGTGACGGAGTTATTTTCTCACTGCTGTTGTAGTATGCCCCTGGTACCGTTCTGTTGTGATACGCACTGATTCTTACTTTAGGGCAATATTGCCACATAAAATAAAGATTGATTAAAGTTTCCTGCAGCGAAATATTTGATACCTTATCGTAATGATAGTTTCAGCCCTCAAGTCCATTGCCCTTCAGTGAAGATGCGGAGAGCTGGATGCTTCATCTTGATGGTTGTCACGAACAACAGTGATTATAATCTTGATTTGAAGCTTTCATGACTGCAGGAATCCATACTCTCTGGTTCTTTGACTTTACCGAAAGAACTAGAGAGAACAGTGATTATGTTACAGTCTCAAATTACAGTCAGCATGTCCTAGGAAATGTACACTGATGAACTGGTTATTATATTTGCTATATTATTGTAATGCAGGTGGTGGTTTCATTTTCAAACGCTGCCATTGTTTTAAAATATTATGCTAAATTTACAATATTTAATCTCAAGATTTGCAGTTAATGATTTAGATCAGTAACCATTACAAAAATTACGTATTTTTGTCGTTGGTAATACATTAATATTGAACGTTAATAATAATGTTAAAGAATAATGCAAAGTCATTATGCCACATTTTTGGTAGAAGCCTAAAGCATTATTTTTTTTACCATACTTGCACTCTTGGGCCTTACACCCACGTTCCTGATCAATAAGCTGGGTGACTTGGAGGTCGGGTTGTTGGATCATGCAGGAATGGATGTCCTATAAGCGTGATACACTTGTGTCATTCGCTTTACACATCATTATAATTATTTAAAAAACAAATCAATAAATGGTGATGATGAATATCATTACATGGAGTCCTACAATGAGAATTTCTGGGATAACGTTTTGAAATTGAATAAAATGTCGTAAAATGTAATCTGTAATTTGTTTTATTCCAATTCTTACAGGAGGTCTCACATGGCCTGCTGTTTGGTCTCTACAAGGAAACCAAGGGAAAGCATGGATTCTAGCTGAAATCATGTACTCTGAGACTGGAGAAGTGCAGGCAAGAACATGCAATCAAATTATTTACTGAAGGTTTTATAACCATCACATGGCTACAGGGTTCTCTTTTAACTTCAAACTATATTTCTGCTAACTGACCCAGTGGGATACCAAGTGGCTCTGTATCTTAGTTGACTCAAAATGCTTGTGTTAGAGCACTGAACCATCAATGTTGAGATTATGAGCTTGAATCAGGGCTACGCCGGTGACTAAACTAGGTTATCAAGTGTATCGAACGAATAGTCTTTGGTTAACAATAACTGCCATATCAATTTACATTTTATATTCTTTGGGTTTTTTGGTAAAGCCACGAAGATAGAAAAATAATAAAATTATCATGACGTTTCGATCGCAACACAAACAATCAGGTGAAAAAATATAGCGAGAGAGCTGCCGAGGCAAGAGAAAATACAGCGGAAGAGCTGCTGAAACACGAAGTTATATAGGCTTGAGATGGGCTCAGTCCAAGGGTAAGTGGGCGGGGCTGGAGGTGGAATTTGCATGTAAATGTAAGATCGGTGATGTACCTCCACGACGACGACACAGCTGTGGAGGTGGCCATTGTATTGTGAGAGATTAGCATGTCAATGTAAACGAACCAACGCAACGGTGGCTGTGCTAGTGAGACATCCAGCTCATAAAAAAAAACGAGGGACAACACCACATCGAGGAAAAGGAGCAGCGGTGACTGTTAGTGAGACATTTAACCAGTGGGCTTGCAGAGTACCTTCGTCTTGGAAAAATCTATTTCGTGTGTGCCCACAGCGTTGAATCAATGATCAGCCACGGCTGAGGTATTGGTCCTACCGTGTTTCAGATCTGCCTTATGTTCACGAACACAGTCCGAGACATGTTGCTTAGTTTCCCCAATGTAACTACTGCCGTAGCCACAGCTTAGTTTGGCCTGCAGCAGCTGAGGGTTATACAACCGATGAGTCACAAAGCATGAGCAGGTGCCACCAGGTCACTCTTGAAAATGAAACGAAGCTGGTCTCTTGAGTTTTCACCTGACCGGTTAAACAAAATTAACTTGATCTAGTATCAAGTGTGGGTGACCTTTTGAAATTATTCCAGAAGTAGTTATGATATAATCTGCAACTGTTCTTTGATATAATTTTATACGACGCTCTGCTATCTGTAGGAGTTCCATGATCTTGATCTATCTAGCATGACTCAAATAGAATGGTTAATATTCTTAGTTTTTTCGGTAAAGTCACGTTGAAGAGAAACAACAAAATAACAAAATATATATAAAACATACATAAAAACAAATTTCGTCTCCCCCCTCCTCTTTTCAAAAAAATAGATGGACTAGTCCTGGGCAAACTGCCAATCGTTGCGCGTGACGCAAACGTTATTTTATTTTATATATAAATAAATAAATATGCCGTTTTCAAAATAAATTTATGCAAACCGACACACCTGATGATGACCGTTTGAGTTATGGTCGAAACGTCGTGAGAATTTTTTATTGTTTTATATATATTTTGTTATTTTGTTGTTTCTCTTCAACGTGACTTTACCGAAAAAACTAAGAATATGAATTACTGCAGTCACGAAAGCTTTAAATCAAAATAGAATGGTTAAGTTAATTAAAAACATTTGTTTGCAATGGTTTCACTGGCATACCAATGTATGACACAGAAGGCAGCGAGCACATAGGAACACAACGCATCATTTAAATACACCGAAACATAGACCATACAAATCTCCAGTGGAACGTTTGAGAAGCTTAAATGAGCAGGTAAATCGTTTCGTTTATCCTATTGAGTAACACACTAGGCCAGTGATAACAAGTTCCAACTACTTTTGTACATACTCTTGGGTTCTTTCGGTAAAGTCACGTAGGTAGAAAAATTATATAATAAAATAAAACAAAAAATAATATTTCAAGACGTTTCGATTGCAACACAAGTGGTTGTCCTCAGGCGGAAAAAATAACCCAGCAGTAGAACTGCTGAACCAGCGAGAGAGCTGTTACAACAAGAGGTTATTTATGTGGTGATGGGCAAGCAAGCGGGGTCTCAGCTGGAAAGGAATTCCATCCCCGGACGCAAGCTCGTCAGTTGTGTTAATGGGGGAGATTAGGGAGAGAGAGATTAGGGAGAGAGATTACCATGAAATAAGCTTCCTTCGCCGCATAAGAGTATTGCCCTCGCATATGGGTACAACAGCAGTGTTAATAAGAGATTAGCACTATGTTGATGGGAGATATTAGGCAGGGAGATTATGGGGATTAGCAAGTTAAATTCCTATCTATGTGTAACACAAGCTGCGGCGCTGCCAACTGCGCTGTGAGGCAAGCGCATCCACGCAAGAGAACCACTGCAACAGTTGTCGCGCCAGTGAGACACAAAGCCGATCTCACAACCAGAACCATCGATACATCGAGGCTAAGGGAGCAGAGGTGGCTATGTTAGTGCGACTCCAGCCCGATCATGCCGAGGCACCTAACAGGGCAATGCAACGCAGAGAGTCGGAGATAACAGCCAAACGGCAGGGAATAATGGAAGCACCACAGCAAGTTACGACTTTGCTTGGTTAATAACGTCCTTCCAATGATTGCTCAGCTTATACCCATCTTCTCAGTTGAAATTGTCTCTGTGCTTATATATCTGGATGGCTTCATGGACAAATCTTTGATGGTAGCACGAAGGTTTGCAGAGTACTTTGGTCTCGAAAAAAAACAATATCGTGCGAGTCCACTGCGTTATAACAATGCTCAGCCACTGCAGAGGTATTGGTTCTGCTGTGTTTCAAATCTGCCTTATGTTCGCGAACACGGTCCAAGACATGTCGTTTCGTTTCCCCAATGTAACTGCTGCCGCAGACACAACTGAGTTTGCAGACACCAGGGTATTGCATGTCAGGAATGACATCCTTCACAGATGGGATCAAATCATGGATTTTGTGTACTGTATTGAATCGGACCTGGATCTTGTGTGTGTTTAAGATTTTTACGTATGGCAAGGTGATGGTTTTGATTGGGTCCTCAGATGGTTGTCTCCCCATGGTTGGGGCTACAGCTTTGCGGATTGTGCGGTCTGAGTATCCATTAATCTTGAGGGCTTGGTGTACGTGCTCCAGTTCACTGACTAGGTGGCGCTGGTCGGAGATGCAGTGGGCCTATGGTGTAGTGTTTTGATGAGGGAGTTCTTCTGGGCCAGATGGTGGTGGCAGTCAGGCTTTAGATAGGAATCCGTGTGGGTGGCTTTCCTGTAGACGGAATGTCCCAACGAGCCATCAGGCCTCTTCTCAATCAAAACATCCAGGAATGGTAGCTTGCCATCATTTTCCACTTCCATGGTGAATTTGATGGATGGGTGTATGGAATTTATGTGGTTGAAAAACTGGTTCACTGCTGGCTGGCCATGGGGCCAGATGACGAAAGTGTCATCTACGTATCTCTTCCACAGGGAAGGATGTAGGGTGGATGTCAGGATGGCATCTGTTTCACATTTCTCCATGAAAACATTCGCTACCACTGGTGGTAAGGGAGAACCCATAGGGATACCTTAAATTCTGTAGAATGTACCATTCAGATTAAGGAAGTGTTGGTAAGGCAGTGGATCACCAAAGTTGGTACATCAGGATTCAGTCCCTGTTGGACCAAGTCTTCAATGATTGCTATGATGTCAGGTACAGGTACCTTGGTGAACAAAGAGACTACATCGAAGCTGACCAGAAAATCATCTGGAGACAGTGAAATGTCCTTGATTAGAGAAACCAAGTGAGCTGAATTAAGTACTGCTGAGGTGGTCTTGCCCGTGAATGGAAGCAGGGTCTCAGACAAATATCGGGCCAGTTTGTAGGTAGGTGAGTGTATGGTAGAAACGATAGGATGGAGTGGAGTACCTTCTTTATGGATTTTTGGGTGGTCTAGCAGCTGAAGGTTTTAGAGAGAGCTGCATGGTCGCTTCGATTAGAGAAGTCGAATAATTGATGATATTATACTCTTTTGTTCTTTTGGTAAAGTCACGTAGGTATAAAATAAAATAAATCACGACGTTTCTGGCGCAACACAAGCGTCCGTCATCAGGTGGGAAAGCATGGTCTGCTGCTGAGGCAGGAGACCATGCCTACGTGACTTTACTAAAATAACCAAAGAGTATGGATTCCTGCAGTCACGAAAGCTTCAAATCTAGTGATGATATTGTTGGTTTTTGTAGCCAGGTGGTTGGTAGGATCTTTGTTGATTTTAGTATAACTGGCATCATTAAGAAGGTCCTGGATTTTGTTGTTGTATGTGGTTTTATCCATGATGACCGTGGCATTGCCCTTAGCCTCGCTGTATCGATGGTTCTGGCTGTGTGATAGGCTTTGTGTCTCACTGGCGTGACCACCATTGCGGTGTTCTCTTGCGTGGATGCGCTTGCCTCACAGCGCAGTTGGCAGCGCCACAGCTTGTGTTACACATAGACGTGACTTTAACTTGCTAATCCCCCTAATCTCCATGCCTAATCTCTCCCATCAACATATTGCTAATCTCCCATTAACACTGCTGTTGTGCGCATATGCAGGGGCTATACTCTTATGCGGCGACGGAAGCTCATTTCGTGCTAATCTGTCTCCTTAATCTCCCCCATTAACACAACTGACGTGCTTGCGTCTGGGGATGGAATCCCTTTCCAGCTCAGACCCCACTTGCTTGCCCATCGCCACGTAAATAACCTCTTGTTGTAACAGCTCTCTCGCTGGTTCAGCAGTTCTACTGCTGGATTATTTTTTTCCGCCTGAGGACGACCGCTTGTGTTGCGATCGAAACGTCATGATATATTATTTTTTATTTCATCTTATTTTTCTACCTACGTGACTTTACCGAAAGAACCAAAGAGTATGGATTCATGCAGTTACGAAAGCTTCAAATCAGATGTTTAACTTCTTTCACACCATACATACCAACCATGCGAATCGGAGTATTTAGGAACAGTAAACTCTTGCCAGACAACTGTGAGCACATCAAGCCAATTGTCTGGCACTTGATACAAGCACAGCATAAAGGCTGTGCAATATGAATTTTGAAGAGAATGTATGTGGACGTTGATGTAAATCAAGTTTTGGTGTTGTTTTAATTGATGTTTTAGTTTTTAGTGGAAGGAGTTCGAGGACATACAGATGGGAGTGATATTGCCCTGGACAATTTCTGCGTCAAAGTCTGCGATCCCAGAGGTAAATTTGCATGGGAGTAATTGGTGAATGGTAAGTTTGTTATCGAATGGCATATTTTATTTTGTTTGTTGTACATCATGTGCTCATTGTGCCGTATGATTTTAATATTGCAGATATCTGCAGTACAACTCCAACTCCTCCCCCTCGAGGTAAAAAAAAAACACTTAAAAAAATGTACATGCCATATATATGCATTTATTTTAGCAAAGAGGAATTGTATCCACTCTCCTCCACCTCACAACAGCCGATAAATAAAGTTGTTGTGAAAATAAACGCGCCAATTTATTACTGCTTCAGCAGTGCTGGCAGTGTTGGAGAGCAATCGCAGAACATTTAACAATTGGGAATGCGTTTCACTGATATTTACGACATTTAAGTTACGTGATCTGACCCAAATTTCAATTATGAATCAAATTGGTCGCGAAAGCCTACTTGTGAAGAGATTCCTAGGATGTGAAATGTAGATTCGTGCATCTCCTTCAGCCATAAAACAAACTCCGTTCATTTGAATAGGATGCTATTTGATGATCTTATGGCTGTTAAAGCATTCCATGAATTGGATTATATGACAGATTAATAATCATCCAAATATTCTCATTAATGAATTTAAAATTTTGGGATTACCATCAGGTAAAATTTTAGTGACAATTTTATGATAGCCACTAGATGGGATGCTTTTCTAACAACCTACTGAAAATACTGGTTATTAGAAAATTCCAATGATCTCGCTATCCCATTAGGCATTATTTGATTTCCACAAACATATTGTAATTTCATAATAATTTCTCAGAACGAATGTTGGCCAGGAGCAATCTAGTTTCGTGTACACAGCAGTACTATAACTGCTTAACCACAATATTTTCTTCCCATTTGTAGTGAGTGCCACGTGTCACGTGGCTGGAGATCCTCACTACTTCACGTTTGATTCTGCACTTATAACCTACATGGGCACATGCACCTACCAACTGGTGAGCGTCTGCAATGCCGACAACGTGACACCCTTTACCATATTGGCTAAGAACGAAGAGCGGGGGCAGCCGAATGCCTCCTACCTCAAGCACGTTTACGTCGACATTGGCAGTGACCGCATCCACCTGAAGAAAAAGAACGTGATTCTGGTATGCACAACTGCACATGAACCGCACATGAACCACACATCAGCAGATGTGCTTTATCCTATCCATGTAAGACTTTGAATAATTTTAAATATTCAACATGATTTTTAATTTGTGCTGCATGTTTTGGCAATTACTTAATTTCACACGCATCTGTACTGACATTTTATCTTTGTTTTATAGCTCAATGGAAAGAAAGTCAAGACCCCAATGATCGAAAGTTTGGTTCCTGGAGTGCAGTTCAGCATTATTGGGAGCTACGTGCATGTGGTGACAGACTTTGGGTTGGTGATCAAATTTGATGGTGTGCATCACCTCTCAATAACTCTATCAAGTGCTTATGCCAATAAGGTAATTGCAGTTTTCATTGTAGCAGACCTTCGTACAAGTGGTAAACATTCTGTACATGTTTCCTACACATGCTGTAAACGTGGATGGAAATGCAAAATCGTATGCTAATTTGCACGCTTAAATGTATGCAGGCGTCTATAATGCAGTCAGTCAATCTTTACATGAAAATACGTTCCGCTATGCGTAGATCCTGCTATATGTGTTTATTCATGCGTTTAACTTCTCTCGTGTAAGCAGCAATGCATTGATAAACGTGAATAGGGAGAATGTGCCGCCATTTCCGAGTCGCTCCTCCTATCTGTACGAAAGCTCAGGGAATAGATAGAATGACGTGCTTACAGGAGATCATTCCTGGATTATTTCTGGTCAGGTGAAGTTCTCGGATAAGTATGGATAACAGGATATACCCCGTAGATAGATTTACAATACCTCAAAAGAAGCGGCCACGTGCACATGCATACAGTGCACATGGAGAAGGCTGAATTGTTTTTAATAGGCATGCTTAATAATTCATATGTTAAAATATATTTGTATTACACTTTATACATGTAAAAATATTTGCTTTACAACTTATGCAAATGCAATTCAAATTTAACACGAATGCTTTCGCAACCAATATGGTTAAATGTTGTAGATCGCAGTCATTGGCACGTGTCCCCTTCTTTGGAGGATATTTTCTAACATAAATTAGACTCATGAAATCTGATCCAAAAATGTATAAATTAAAATGATATGACAATGTTAAATTAAGGCTAATTTAAACAAATGGGATGGACCAAATGAAGAACAATACAATTAATGTGAGAGAATACATTCTCAGATCAAATTTCCCACCCCACTTAAAAAAAACCTATAAATCGCATTGAGGAGAAATAAGGCATTTCAAGCTAGCCATGAGGTAGTTTTAATGATCAAGGTGGCAAGATTTGTATGTAAATTTACCGTATACAACTCGGTCTCCGAATTTGTATTTCTACGCTCTTGTTAATGTTGTGTTGTGCTGCTACAACAGGTGTGCGGTTTGTGTGGAAACTACAACTTGAACCACACTGACGATTTATTGATGCCCAACGGCTGGCTGGCATCCGATAACAGTGAGCTCGGGAACAGCTGGAACGTGGAGGATACCGATGATAAGGAGTGAGTGGAGGCTTGTACAGGACATACATATGGCCTATTCGTGTACACTACTGTACTGTAATTTGAAATGCATGTTTATATAATTATGAAGGTAAACCCGTAATTTGCACAGTATTGTTGTCTACAGTTTGCCCCAGAAAATCATATTGTAAGTGAATCATGAATCTAATTGTTGCACACTCGAAATGAAAAACGTGGGCAGGTGCTCCAAATCGAGGGCAAACACATTTATTGTGGTAAATCTGTAAAATGCAACAGCACATGTGCCACACACAGCAATCCTCAACCGAGTCACCATTAACCACGTGACTGGTGTCCAAATCCGGTTAATCAAACACATTCCTGCGGAGGGAGTTGGTAGGAACGTTGGGTTGCTCGGTCAATGGCCAGGGTCAACGGCGGCATGGTGTATTCTGCAAATATGCCCGACTCTGAGGGCGGGCACAAGCCGGCGTGAGTAGGTTAAACGTAGGCTTCGGCAAGGTAAGGTATTTTACCCTTTTTACCGGGTAAAAGGGTATAGGTGTCGACATGCCAAGGGGTAAGGTAAAGGGTAGGGTAAAGGTAGCTCGGAAGAATTACCCGGTAGAGTAAAGGTAGCATGAAGTATTACCCGGTAAATACGGTGCCTTGTTTACCGCTAAAAGCTCCGTGGCGCAGTCCGTGGCCTCCATTTAATAAGTAATATTTTAAACAAAACTCTTTTTTTTAAACACCCTTTAATGAAATGTACTAGTAATGGCAGAACTCCATGACTCCAGGAAGTGGCCCCGAAGCGTGCCACAACGTAAGGGACCATGGCCAATTACAGCCAACGTCAGTTGACAGTGGACAATTAGACCAAAGCTGAAACATAACATATACAAAATAATGTTTAAAAATATATATTTTTTAATGATAGAATATAGTATTGTCATCAGTATGACATAAGTATACCAAGTTTGCAGTCGATACCACATTGGGAAGTGGGTAAAAATTGAGTTACAAGATTTGAGGATACAACAACGACAACAACAGAGTTAAAAGAAAGCATGTAAAATTGGAATCATGGAGAGTATGCTATGTGAATAAAGCGCTCTACCTAGCATTTACCTGTTATAAACCTTTTTCATGTGTACCCCAGTAATTACCCTGTAATCGGGTAATTTGTATGGGGTAATGGTAAAAGGTAGGGTAAAGGTAGGCTCGTTGCTTTTAACCTTTTACCTTACCTGCTGAAGGGTAAAAGGTAGGGTAGAGTGATTGTATTGTGGTAAGGTAAAAGGTAGGGTAAAGGTAGGCTCGTTGTTTTTACCTTACCTTGCCGAGGACTAGTTAAACGTTGAGTTTTTTCAGGGCACCACGGGGTGACCAGCCACCCCCCCACCCAGCCCCACCCTCCCCACCCAGCCCCTCCCCACCCTCCCCATCCAGCCCCTCCCCACCCTCACCCTCCCCCTCCCCACTCTCCCCTCCCCACCCTCCCCACCCAGCCCCTCCCCACCCTCCCCTCCCCACCCAGCCTCTCCCTCCCCACCCATCCCCTCCCCACCCTCCCCTCTCCACCCAGCCCCACCCCTCCCATTTTTGGATGCACGACGGACGGACAGAATAATCCCCTGTGGGCTGGTGTAACCAGAGGTTCCTACCAGTATAAGTTTCTCTTAAACCCAATTATCCTACTGATAAACCATCTTTGTCTTTGGCAATAACTCTTGAACGTCACTATTCGAATATTACTTTAATCCTAAGCTGTATGTCTATATATATACCATCCTTATATCGGTATTAACACACATTACCTGCACTGTATGTGTACAATATACGTACTGTACTTGTCACCATTGTACAACTTACGACTGTACATATGTTATATTCTCAATAGCATTGCAAGTAGTCATACTCTGGGTGCATGGTTATAGAATAAACAGTATCAGGGTTAGAGAATTACAAGTATTAACTACAGTACATCATCCTTTACAGTGCACAGTGCTAAAACCCCTCCTATTGAATATATCACAAACTAATAATTCAAAGCCAAGCTTGAAGTCTAGAGCAAGTCTAGAACATTTATATAACGATCAAAAACAACCTTTGGGCCCTTTACCTGTAAAATGCAACAGCACGTGTGTCACACACAGCAATCCTCAACCGAGTCGCCATTAACCACGTGACTGGTGTACAAGTCCGCATAATAGATAATCCTGCCAGCCACCCACAGGCCCAACTCAGTTATCACATGCTGGTGTACACAGGTGCATTGATGTACTGCACAGCACATCAGGACTTTCACAAAACCACACTTTACTCCCTTGCTGCACGAGGAAATAATTTAAATAGTGGTCCATTCCTAATGTGCCACATAATTAATATTTTGGATGAGATAATTATAATTTGTATTTAGCTACAGATGCTTAAGGTAAATGTTTTAAATTATATTTTAGCCACATGAAGCTAAACACATGATGATTGTAATCAGGCCTGGTAACATGTCAGAGAACTTGACTCGCAAGGCAGTGAGTTATAATCCCAGTTGTGGTTCGATCCCACACCATTCCTCTAAGGGTTGATAAAAAATGAATACCATTTTGTGGAAAATCAACATTGGTTGTCCTTTTACAAGACTGGCCACCATCTTTAGGCATGTGGAGTGTATACGATTGCTTCAGGGCTATAAATGCAGTTGCGCACATTGTGCAGGAAGACACTTTTAATTGTTGTATTTCCTCTGGTTACATTATATCCAGTCCTCGACTTACGAACAAACAACTTACGAAAACTCGCACTTACGAACCAGCTTCCATGATTCCATTTTTTTACATCGACTTACAACGCGAACTTGCACTTTCAAACTGAACTGCGGCAACGATTTGTTCAGCTGAATGATCCTCCGCGAAATGCAATGAGTCCGCCTCGTGCTGGGACTGAGTGTGCATGTGTGTGCGTGCAAACACACGTGTGTTTTAAACTGAGTGTGTGTGAAAGTGAGCGTGTGTGCACGCGTGCACCTGTATGTGTGTTTGTGGGGAGCAGTAGCACAATGGTTAGCGTGCTGTGCTACCAACCTGGCGACCCGAGTTTAATTCCCGCTCTCGACCAACACCAATAACGATTACCTGAATGAGTCCTGGGTCTCCCCTAGGTCGACTCAGCCTCAAATGAGTACTTGGTGCGGTGTGTAAACATCGCCACTGGGGAGTCAAAGGTGCTGGGCGTGGTGCTAACCACCCAGCCTTCATAGGCGCTGCTCGCGAACAGCACTTGCCCCAACAGCCTGTGAAGGCTACTTGGGGGATAGTTGTCGTTTTTGTGTGTGTGCTGTGTGTGTGTGTGCGAGCAACCGTGTGCGTGTCTGCGATTGTCGTGACTCATTTTTCCCCTTCTCACAAGCAAGCCAGCATTGGGAGTCAAGGTAAGTGAAAATAGAACGGAATTGTTTTTTCTTTATGTTACTTTACTTTATGTTTTATCTAAAATATAATATTTATTGCAGTATGAAAATGTACAATATTTCGATTTAAAGCTTTCGTGACTGCAAGGATTCATCTTCTTTGGTTCTTTCGGTAAAGTCAGCGCTGTCCTCCAGACAGTCTCGTCCCTTCACCTGATGAAGGCCGCTTGTGTTGTGGCCGAAACGTCGTGAGAATATTATTGTGTTATTTTATTTTATCAATTTATTATTTTATTCTCATTCTACGTGACTTTACCAAAAGAACCAAAGAAGATGTACAATATTTCTTCTTATTTATGAGTTTAATGACGCTTCCCTTTTTTGTTGAACCGTAACATTGTTGTGTTTTGACTTACGAACCGTTCTACTTACGAACAGGTCTTTGAAATGGAACTCGTTTGTAAGTCGAGGACTTCCCACATACACAACTCGATGGAAACGCGTTGACTAACGCTGGCAGGTGTCATAATATCTGCCATTAATCTGTCGGTGTTCATACATTATGCATAATCACGAACCTTTTTATAATTAATTTTTAAGCAATGATTTACTATAACGTAGTACCACGAGAAAAATCTGATTTTGGGAGATGGGTATTTATATGTACATTATATGCATTATATATTATTTAACTCCCCATTTTAAGACATTACTTATTATCACAGATATTTTTCTCATAAAATTGTCAGATGCTCAGTCTTTGAAATATAGTATTTTATTACTGTACAATGACATCTTCACGAAATGTTTTTCAGGGGGCCGTCTAAACTGAATGTTAAATAGTATGTTGGAAAACATTCAATCAGGGAACGTTGACCACAGTTGTGTAAACTGGAATTTTAGCAATAAAATGTTAGATGTGTCAAAACAACAAAGAAAGCATGTTCAAATGAGGTTTCACTGTACACTGGGAATTTAAAGTTCAAGCAAGAGCTGAATGTGTCCACCGAAGCGATGAGTCTCGGTGCAAGCCTCAACCGTTGAGTTCTCTCATTTCAGCTGCAAGCTGGGCGTGGAGCCTGTACAGTTCACTTGGAGGCATGAGAAATCCTTTAACAAGAGATGCCAAGTCCTCACTTCACCCACTGGTCCTTTTGCAAGTTGTCATCATGTCATCAACCCCCAGGACTACGTCACGACTTGCACATTCGACATGGGTCAATACAGCGGCATGGCGAGCATCCTGTGCGACAGCTTACAGGCATATGCGGAAGCCTGCCGTGTTGAGGGAGTGAATATTCAGTGGCGTAATGAGACCTTCTGTCGTGAGTCTATATGGAAAATATACACCTCACCCGGGATCGTGCGTGTGGCCAGTTTACAGTGTTGTAACTATTATATCAATGATAGACATACAGAGTACTTACCAATATATATTTCACGTAGACACACAAAATTGCACCTGCGTACAGGTTATAAAACGCGCATTAAATTTATTATTAATGGTGCTGAAGGGATTGAAAGCATATTACAAGTAGAGATAGCACCTAAACACAATAACTGTTGTGATTTATTATGGTAAACTTTGCTATTACTGTGTAAACTACAAATTGTTGTTTTATTATCAACTGCTTGTTTAATCTTGTCGTTTACATCTTGGGCTGAATTTATATGTTGGCAGAGGAGCACATTCTGCAGTTATTTGGCGAAACAAACTGCTCACATTGTCACAACTTTTCACTGATTTGCTCATTTTTCTCCAGCAATCGGCAAAAACACATACACATTAATTGGGCCTGGTATTCAGTGCAGAAAGTATTCCAGTCTAACCGTTGATCGTTGTTGTTGTTAATGTCCATTAGCGCTGTCCTGCCTGGCAAACTCCCACTACACGGATTGTGCCTCGCTTTGCCCAAACACCTGCCTGCACGCAAGCACAGAGGATGACTGTCGGAGCACAGAGACGTGCACAGAGGGCTGCGTCTGTGACAGCGGCTTTGTGCTCAGCGACAGACTCTGTGTACCACAGCAGGATTGCGGCTGCTGGGACAATGGAAAAATCTACCACACGGTGGGTAGCTCCGCTTGCCCTCTGAACCAGCACGAATCCGGCTCCACCCTTTGGGATGCGCATATGCGTGCGGTGTCATCACCACTGTGCATTTGCCCAGCAACAAAACCTAAAATAAATAAAAATCCTATATTAAATTAAACAACTTGTATGACTCTACTCAGTCCTGTTTTATTAATTGACATTTCAGTTGAGCATGCTTATTGATTGTATCCTACGGTTTCAGATCATTTTAGCATTGTATTTCCACAGCTCGGAGAATCCTGGCTGACAGACAACTGTAGTACTCAGTGCAGGTGTATGGGCCCTGAGGAGATGAACTGCACTTTGCATAGCTGCATGGCTGAGGAGAGCTGTGCTTTGCAGAATGGGCAGTACAAATGTCAGCCCGTCGGTAAGCTCGTTACATGTCTTGCAGTATAAATTTTAGATGTTTAAAGAAAGTTCAATCGTATTAAACACCACTTTAAAGAAAGTGTTTAATACAAAATTGGAGATGCTAAGAAGAAAATTGTGCAACTAAAATTTGCTCAACCATTTATATTTGATGGAAAAAGACAGACCACATTTTCTGCTTATATGGTTATGTGACAGATGTGGACATTGCACATTCATTTCCTGCCCACAATGTGGTATAGTTTTTTTTTATGAATCCTGGAGCAACAATAAACGTAACCAAGCCTCAAAATTTCAACTTGGATTTTGAGTTGAGTGCTCCGCCAATACAACTTTACCAGACCATATACTGTCATGATGAAAATGATACTGAAGTTAACAATAACTGCATTAATTTGCTGCTGGTTTCTGCTGATAAATTGGCACAAACTCTCCGGATAAGAGGTCCGCTGCATGTAAAGCGCTGCATGTAGACGAGTCAGTGTGCTGGTGTGTTTCTTTCATTGTCAAGGACTGCTCATGAGGCTTTTTCACTTGTTATGCACTTTTTAGGTTTCAGTACTTGCACCATCTCTGGAGATCCACACTATCAGACCTTTGATGGATTGCCTTACAACTTCATGGGCAATAACACTTACGTTTTGGTACAGACCAGTGGCGATAACCCCAACCTCATCCCCATAAATGTGCGTGGGAAAAACGCCAATCGTCATGGTTTAAGCGACGTCTCATATTTGGATGAGGTTCACGTGAATGTGTTTGGACACGAAATACGTTTTACCAGCAGGGATGATTTTGAGGTGAGAGTTATGTAAACACGCAAGGTAAATGCTGTAATGAGAAGGGTTTCCGGCTTGAACAAGTGCTGAGCATTGCTCAACTCTGTTGGCCCTGAGCCAGTGGTGGAAATTACACATTCCTATGTCAAATGTCAGTTGCCCTATGTAACAATAACTTCACTTCCTATGATGTGGTCCTTATTTTTTATGGACCCATGAGGGGTAATGGCCTAAGTTGATCCCCGAGAGTAATGCTCTTCAATTGGTGGCTTGTGGACCACATCTGGCCTCGAACGGCTCTTAGAATGCCCTGCTGAGCATGCCGTGACATACATTGATAAAGATTAGTGAGATGAAAGAGAGACAGATATAGATGAGAGAGCTGTATAAATGTAACTCTAGAGTGTATTGCATGTACGATACTGAGTATACAAATTTAAACTATGCAGCAGTCCATATACATTGTGATTGACTGCTAACCGCAATTATATCTTAATGGACTCAGTTACAGCTGTATAACCACTGGCTCATCGTTGTACTAAATGGAGATAGACTACCACTAAATGGGCGAATGGAATCGTGCATGACAATATACCGACATCCGCACCAGTATGGCGATGACCAACCGCCAGAAACTGGCAATTGGGCACATGGAACCAGCCGTAATGTAGTCTCCAGTTGCATAACGAGTGCGGCTGTGTCTGTTTTGCAGTTTGACGGGGTGAGGATGAGGCCTCCTATGTTCCCCCGTGAGGGTCTGTCCATTCAGCAGTCCTCTCACAGAATCATCCTGCAAACCGACTTTGGTCTCACTGTCATCTACGACCGCAGGGAGCATGCAGGTTAGTGCTGTGGTCCTAATGACAGCAAGCTTTGCAAATCATATGTTAGTTTCATGGAATATCCAAGTTAAGTAAAACACTTCAAGTTGCCCCATGCTCAAACTTGCATTGGGTAGTGCTTGTGTAATGAGTCCACCAGACGAAGGTTGGAGATGACACACTCTTTATTATCCACACGAGCCTCATGCTGCGTGCGACCACTCCACTCCAAATCCCACCAGGAAGCACCCCGATCTCTCCACCTCATCCGGTGACATGAACACTCCCCTGCTGGACGTTCACTCTCTCTCACGCCCCGCCTTCTCTTTCCTTTAGTTTGTGACGTATCTTTAACAGTAACCTGGGATACCGTGGGTATTTCTACCCCCGGATCGCATAAGTATTTAAACTACGCTTGTATCTTTATAGCCATTGGTCACAATTTGGTAGTTCTGAGCCACTTGTAAAGTATTTATTTTTGTTTGGGAGAGGACAGTCTATCCTCAGACAATCACAACTGACTCCAACTTAAGCTCATTAACCGTAATTTAGAGATAATGAGCCAGATTTTACCATGGTTGGGATTTGGACTCTCTTTTGCATCCTGGATCTGGCATATTTGACACAGACAGCACTAGTCATTTAAGATTGTACGATTAAGTGCTCTTCATTGGTCATGATTTATAACATATATTTACACAAACATTTGCCGTAATCCTAAGAAAGTTGGACAAAACTACCTTGATAAATTAAGATGGCTAATATTCTTGGTTCTTTCGGTAAAGTCACAGAAGGGAAAAAATAAAATAATAAACATATTAAACAATAAAATTCTCACGACGTTTCGACTGCAACACAAGCAATCATCATAAAATGAATTTCATGCAACACTCCTTGCCAAATTGGCTCCCATCTTGTCTGTTTTGGTAGCACTGTAGCCTGCACACTCACAACGGAGTCAGTTTACATGGAGCTGACCTTTCGATTATCATAGAAATTGGTAGAATTGCCTCTCAATCCAAACCAGCATGAGGGATGTATGCTTCTCCTTCAATTAACCTGAATCATTGGTAGAAAATACATATTATAGTGGCAGGGTTTTTTCCGATGCAAATCCCTTTGAATTCCCACAAAATGATACACATTTTGTGTACTCTGGAGGTTTGATGACCTCAATATGTTGAATATTGTTTTGTATGATTTCCACGTGTTAATTAATACAAACAGGTAAAACTCTATGAAGCCTAATATCAGTTTATAATGTAACATGTATTTTCCTAATTCTTCAAATGGATAATAACGTAAGGTTTTTTTTCTGTATCGTGTCAACAGCTAAATGAGTTTCCCCTTACAGAGAATAGCCAGATATAAATAATGTATGAATACTTTCTAAGATTTATTTTAACCTTTTGTACAACATACAAACATTTATATGGAACTGCTAAATCCTGTGTTGTGTTTTTGTTTGACACGATGCATTATAGATGTGATTATATCCAGCTCTTACATGAATGAGGTTAGTGGATTGTGTGGGAATTACAACGGCGACCCCAACGATGAATATTTTGGACGTAATGGACAGCAAATTCCTTCCATAAAGGTGTTTGGCGAGAGCTGGGCAATGAATGGTGCTAGTGAGAACCTGGCGCCTGCTGTGAGGTAAACAACAAGCACCCGCGGCACGGTGGTTGGACAAAAGCGGTGTCGGTCTCGTGGGTTTGCAACGTTGCGTCATGATCATATTTCATAAACTGTACTTGTACACACATGCAAACTAACCAATGTTACTCATATATACACTATATAAGGGAAAAAAGACGTCCACATACATAATACATATGTATAACATACAAAAGCTGCACAATATGCATGCATTGTATGTCTTAACTTGTGTATTTTTTTACTTTAAGCCAATATAAATTCTCCATCTCTGAAGACTCATTAAATGACCCAACCTGCAGTGGGACACAGCTGATCGAACTGCAAGGCATTAGTTCCTGTGGGATGATCAAAGATATGGCTGGTCCCTTCCAACCATGCCAAGAGACAGTTTCTCCTGATTCATACTACGAGTGAGTCTAACAAGACGGCCTGCAAAACCACCCACACACATGTGCTGCCCATTTTGCATGATGGTGCACACCTGCAAAACAGTTTTGTTGGCAAGGATTTATGGATCACATAGATCTTTAAAATTCCTAAACCCACTGAATTCTGAGTTGGCCAGGAGATGGCAGTGCATCACTTTTGTTCGTGTACTCACCTGCCTAAATATTTCCTTGCCATGCTCTCATGTGCATTGGTTTTAACCGGGAACTCACATTTCCTTTCATAAGCAAAACAATAGAATTGGGTTTGCTTCTCATTGAATAACTATCCTAAAAACAGTCTTGTGACTGAGGTTTCTGGATAATATTGTGAATATGAATTGAAAATTAAACAAACGTTTAAAATGTGCATATACGAAAATTGAGCAGCCAATTACTCTAGATACAAAGTATCTGCTTTGATGATTGAGTGATGCTAAGCAGGATATTTGTAAATATGCTGATCATGTCATTAGCCTGCCCATAGCTAATACTGCACGTCCTTAGGAACTGCTTGTACGACATGTGCGCAAACTTTGGAGACAAGGAGACACTGTGCAACAGCGTGGCGGTTTACACTGCAGCTTGTCAGCGGAAGGGCATCACTCCAAGCAACTGGAGGAACTTTTCAGGCTGCGGTAATGTTAAACACTGCTATTCACCCCTGTGTTCTTTTTTAGATTTTTACACACTTTTATTGAACTTGCCGTGTTGTCTGTTAATATTCTTTCAAATAATATCTTTGGATCTACGAAGCCTAACGAGCTAAAATTTTCTACGTAGACTCATCTCGCGTGACAATTCAAGATTTCGTTAAAAAACAAAGTCCTGCCGATCCTAGGCCTTTTCGTGTTTTTTTTTACTTCATTTTATTAATTAATATTCATACATTCTTCCTCCCTTTTTGTAATCTCAAATGGTCGTGCCCAGCTACGAGGAAAAACGTCTGGTTCAATCAGAGCGGCTGGTGTGTTTCCCTCTTCCTTAGCTCGAGACTAACAATTGCAATAATTTTGACTACTGTTGCTATTGTTAAAATAATAACATAATTATACTTGTAATAAATAGGATTATGATTTGCTATCATGCCCCTTCCGACGCGTTGAGTGCAACATGGTTATACTCCAGTTGAGCGAGCAGGTGAAAACCATGATCATGTTTTCAAATGAAATGCCGTGCACTGTTGTTAGGGAGACTGCCCCCCGGCTCCCCGTTCTCCCGTGACCCACCGTCCTCCTGCTCTCCCCCCTTCGCTGCTGCTCCTCGGGGCATGATTTAACTAGCTGCACTAACCACTTTACAATCACGGAGAGCTGCGCAGGCTCACTGGTTAACGTGCCGCGGTGAGCGCGCACACGTGGGTGAAATTACACACCCGTGCGTAAACACATAAACACCCCTGTGCGCAGGCTCACGGGTTAACGTGCCGTGGCGAGCGCGCACCTGTGGGTGAAATTACACACCCGTGCATAAACACAGAAACCACAGCGCGCAGGCTCACCACACCACGCACTCCCCTTCGCACTCACAGAGACATCATGACACGGTTTATACTCTACTGACGATTTATTCCCCACGAATAAACAAACTAAACTGCGCGTAGCAGTGCGGACCAGCAGGGCAGGTCTAATCTATCTCTGATACTTAATTGCCCTGTCCGCTCTCTATTCTCTCTTTCTCTCTCAGAATTTCGCCCCTTTGTCTTACCTCTCTTCCTTGTACTTACGGTCCGACCTCGCAGTGTTGGAGGTCGTGGAAAGATAATGCTGTAAACGGAATCTGGCTGTTCTCTGACCCATCTCACGGACGTGCGAGTAACAGTGAGATGACGGCTCCTCGATCCCTGTCTCCAGTTGATCCCCAGCAAAAACGACCCCGTGCTTTCCAAAATCGTCCCTTTTTATGCTCGGCTTCAAAGCATGCGCGCCGCCGACCCGTTGGCCTCTTATCCAATCCGATTACCCCCCCCCCCCTCCGACGCCCCGCCCCCCCATTGTTTAACCAAGTGCACCGACTCAATAGGCGAGCCGGTGCCGCATCATCGCCGTTAGCCCGCGGTGCATCACGAGTAGAGTCGCTAACCCGCGGTGCATCACGGGTAGAGACATTTAACCCGCGCTGCCCCGCACCTCACCTGTCTGCTGGTCCGTGTGTGTCTTGGGCATTTCCTCACTGCGGTTCTCAGTGAGTTCGCCGTGGTCATTTAATTTTAAGTTAAGCCACGGCGCCGCAGTGCCATTTGGCCTGGGCGGGGGGCCTGCCAATTCCCTGGCCCTGAGAAACTGTGGAGCACCCCCACGAGGGGGTCTCTCAGGTAAAAACCCAGGGCAGGTGCCCCCTCCCTATGAGGCCCTACGTGAGTGTGTGTGTGTTTATGTGGGGGGTGGCGGGGAGAGCGCTGTGACGGGAGCCGGGTGGCTTCTCGGTCGCAGCAGCACAACGACGGCCCCGGTTTTGGCGGAGTGGCTTCACTGTTGTGGCACCACATAGCCCCCCGAGATGCCAGTCCCCATTCCGGGTTGACTGGAGCATGTCGCCTGGTTTGCTCCCACGAGGTAGCGTCGCGGGGTCCGCGGGAGTTGTCCAGTCCTTGTGGCCGGCCTCGGGGGTGATGGCTCCGTCTCCCGGAGCTCCGGCGGTGGTCTCCTCCTCCACTCCAATGGTTCTCCTCGGTCCTTGGCACCTGCGGGCTGGGGAACAAACTCAGAGGTGGTAGGGTTTAAGGGCCGTCATCCCCATCCCCCCGAGCCCGGGTCGGGGCCCCTCGGGCCCGGGGCCCTGTGGGGCCCATATAACGTGCGAGGCCCCCGAGTATGGGGGGCGTGGGGACCCCGGGATTTCGAGGTACTTGAATGGTGCGGTCCCCCCCCGCTGGAGCTGCTCTCCATGGTTTTAGTCGGCGGACGTTGACCACCATCTCCCGGCCCTTCTCCCCTCCCTGAATCAGCACCGTCCAGGGAGAGATCTGTCGTCCCACGGTCCAGGGTCCCCTCCGGTAGGTGGTCAATTTTCCGACCTGCCCGGCCCCGACGCGAGGAGTGTGCAGCCACACTTTCGAGCCCGCCGAGTAGAAGGGGGGCTCCATACGGGGTCGGGTGCTCTGCTCTTGCCGCTGGTGTGCGGCCTCTCCTTGTGGGTAGGCTCGGCTCCGGGCTCCTCGCAGAGTCTCCATAAAGATGTTCCACGGGGCGGCTCCCCTCCTCCCGTTGGGGTGGGGGAACGCCGAACAACAGATCTGCGGGGAGGCGAGACTTACGACCAAACATCATTAGGAACGGGGTCTGTCCCGTAGATGTGTATACCGTGGTGGCATAGGCGAACAGGGCATAGGGGAGGTGTTCGTCCCAGTCCTGTTGATTTGCGGCCGCCATGCGTTTGAGCTTCCCGGCTAGAGTCTGGTTCATTCGCTCCACCATACCATTCGCCTTGGGGTGGTATGCCGTGGTTCGGTCCTTCTGGATTCCGAACTCGCGGCACAGCGCCTGGAATAGCTCCGCCTCGAACTTACTACCCTGGTCAGTAATGACTCGTTCGGGGATACCATGTTTAAGCACGTAGTGTTCCACGAATGCCTGGGCGACCACCAGGGCCGTTTTATCTGGGATGGCCACCGCCACGGGGTAGCGCATGAAATACTCCACTGCCACGAGGATGTACCGGTTGCCTCGGTGGAATTGTGGGAATGGTCCCTGTAGGTCGATCCCCACCAGCTGGTTCGTCCGACTGATGCGGAACGGCCTCAGGGGTACCTGGTACTGCGCCGGTTTCTGCCCACACTGCTGACAGGCCCGGCAGCCCTGCACCCAGGCGGCCACATCTTGCGCCAATTTTGGCCGGAGATACTGGCGACGCAGAGTCTCCCGAGTGCGTCGTTCCCCATCATGGCCCCCGAGCGGGTGGTCATGCACCAGCCATAGCAGCTGGGGCCACACCTGGGCGGGGACACAGATGCACCCCGGCTGCCCAGCTTCGGTTTGTTCCCTCACCACTCCGTTCTCTACACACAACCAGGCATACAAACCGCTCCAGGGCCCCGGTAGGGTGACCTTTTTCTCCCGCAGGGCTGCCTCCACCGCCGCCAGGTCCGGATCCCGCTGCTTGGTCTGTCTCAGCTGCTCATCGTCGAGGCCTGGGAACGCACAGCCGACGTCCTCTTGGATCCGATCGGGCGGGGTTGAGCGGCCCGTCGGGCCCTGGGGTGTGGGCTCCATGACCGCCGGTTGGTCCATCGGGCCCCTGGCTCCTCCTGCCGGGGTCTCTGTGGTACATACTGCACTTTCTCTCATCAGAGGAGGGTTAGTCTCAGCACACTCCTGGGGGCCCGCCACCTGCCAGCAACATACCCCCGTGAAGCACGGGCAGGCTTCCTCCGTCCTTGTCTCGGCGCACACTGCGGGCCGCCACGATAAGGCGTCCGCGTTTGCGTGCGTCCGCCCCGCTTGGTACTCAATTTGCAGGTTATACTCCTGCAATTGCGCCAACCATCGGGCCATCTGCCCCCGCGGTTCCTTGAACGTAAGGAGGAACTGCAGGGCATAATGGTCGGTGCGTACCCGTACAAATACGGTCGGAACTGTTTACACGCAAATATCACGGCATACAGTTCTTGACGGGTCACGCAATAGTTCAGCTCTTCCCCACTCAGGGTCCGACTGGCGTATGCGATGACCCGCTCCGTCCCACCCTGCACCTGTGACAGCATCGCGCCCAGCCCACTGCTGCAGGCGTCGGTGTCCAAAATAAAATCAGTGGTGAAATCGGGGAAAGCCAGGGTGGGGGTGTGGGTGAGGTGGTCTTTGAGGGTGGTGAAGGCCATCTGGCAGGCCTCCGTCCACTGATAGGGGTTCTTAGGGGATGTGAGTTGGGTGAGGGGGCGTGCAATCTCGCTGAATCCCTTTACAAATCGACGATAATAGGTGGCGAGCCCCAAGAATGATCTGATCTCCGTCAGGTTCCTTGGCCGTGGCCAATCCACTACGACGCGTACCTTCTCCGGATCGGTCCGCACCCCTGCCTCGCTGACTCGGTGTCCGAGGTACCCCACCTCGCGCTGTGCAATGTAACACTTACGCAGTTTGAGCTTGAGATGGGCTGCTCGCAGTCAATGGAATACCTCCCGTAGCCTGGACCAGTGCTCAGACAGAGACCTACTGAACACTATCACGTCGTCCAGGTAAATTAGGCACTGTTCCCACTGCAAGCCCCGCATCACCAACTCCATCAACCGCTGGAACGTCGCGGGCGCGTTAGTGAGTCCGAACGGCAGCACTCGAAACTGAAACAGTCCCATCGGGGTGGTAAATGCGGTTTTTGGCCGATCCTCCTCCGCCATCTCCACCTGCCAGTACCCGAACGCCAGATCGAGGGTGAAAAAATACTGCGCCCCTGCGAGGCTGTCAAAGGTGTCATCGATGCGGGGTATGGGGAAGGTGTCGCCGAGGGTAACTGCATTTAACTTTCGATAATCGACGCAAAACCGGGTCGATCCATCCTTTTTCGTCACTAGTACAACTGGGGCAGACCAGGCGCTCGCTGAGGGCTGGATTATGTTATCACGGAGCATATCCGCGACTGCTTCTTTGATCTGGGCCCGTTCAGGTGCGCCCACTCGGTATGCGGGGAGTTTGATGGGTCGGGC